GGAAAACATTGAATCGCTGAGATGTTTTTGTGTACATGGGGACTACCGTGGTCCCTTGTTTTCCATGATCGAGGCAAATGGATAGGGATTTCCTGCTCCGATGACATGATGGTATGTGAGGAAGAGAACATGAGGATGCTTGGGTTGGTATCAGGAGGGCATCTTCTGCACAATCAGGAATGCTCTTGTGATGCTCTTTAGGCCTGTCTTCATCGGCTCGAGATTGCCAAATATCCCGCTATTTGAACTAATCCGATCGCAAATTATCCAGTTAATTTGCATCTTCATCAGCCCGAAGTTGCAATTAGCGGGATATTTGGTCAAGATAATCATCCCAAGAAATCTTGGGCTAGTTTGCAAAATATCCCGCTATCTGTCCGGTGCGTCTTCACCAGCCCGAAGACTCGCACTATGCGCGAACGCTGAGCAAAATATCTCGAGCTAATTTCTTGAGCTTGAGTTTTGAGTTTCGAGTTTCGAGTTTCGAGGTCAAGTCTTGAGCTGATGAAGACACGATTTGTAACTTGGGATTATTTCCAAAATCAGAAATAGCGGGCTATTTGGCAATCTCGAGCTGATGAAGTCACGCCTTTTGAGATGACATGATGTACCTCTAATGGGATTCAAGAGTTCAGATTTTATCAGGTAGATTATTTCAGAGATGGAAATTTGGGAGTGCTACGGTAGTTAAAAGGAAGGATTGAAATATTTTGGCAAAATTTGCTTGATTATGATCCCTCCCACTCTCCTTCCGCCCCTCCTTCCACCCATCTCTGGCCTCATCTCATTCTCTCTCCCAACGTACATGTATACATTCTTCCCTCAGACTTTTTAAAATGTGTTTTTGTTAAAATCTCTATTCTAAATCCCCATCTTTGTTAGTAAGTGTGTTCAAAATCTCTATCTCTTTGATGCCCTTTTCACCCAATTTATGATATATTCCCCATACCAAATAGTAATGACTGAGTCATTAAGCTACCAGATTTATCGTTGTCTTGTACCCTGTACCTAAATATTTGAATAGGTTGTCATTTAGCAAATAAATGTGATGGGGGATTTTGTTCCAATTATCCTTTGCCGAATCGCCGTGGGCATGAGTCATCAAGTAACAGAAGCTGACGATAAAAGATGCATGTCGCTGAAATCATTGGGGAAAAATTCAGAATTATTATAAAGGTATATTTATAGCTCAGTCTTGCAAGCAATTTAACTTTGATGAGAATATGTTTAGGTCCCTGAGTGCGATGGTAATTGGATTTAGGGCCCTCTGAGGGCTTTCCTATATACTGTCTGTTTGCAGCCAAAAGGGTGATAAGTCATATACAGTACTTTAACAAAGAGTTATTAAACACCTTTCTGGCTCTCATCCGATTATATTAGGATTTTAGTCGTTACATGCAGTTTGTGCACCTAGAGTAGAACAAAACTGCAACATAGATATTGTTCTTTCAGTGCCAGAAGGGCATTCACTCATGTGCTTTTATGCTTTTACACAGAGTTAGCGTCCCTCTGGCGCTCATCCGATAATATTAGGATTGTAGTCATTACAGGCAATTTGTGTACCTAGAGTAGAACAGAAGTGCAATTAAGATATTGTCCTTTCAGTGCCAGAAGGGCATTCACTCATCTGCTTTTATGCTTTTAAACAGAATTAGCGTCCCTCTGGCTCTCATCCGATTATATTAGGATTTTTGTCATCGCATGCAGTTTGTGCCCCTAGAGTAGAACAGAACTGCAACTTTATACATATTATCCTTTAAGTGCCAGAAGGGCATTCACTCATCTGCCTTTATACTTTTGTTTTACACAGCATTAGCCTCCCTCTGGCTCTCACCCGATAATATTAGGATTTTAGTCATTACAGGCAGTTTGTGCACCTACTGTAGAGTAGATCAAAATTTCTGCAACTTACATATTGTCTCTTGATAGCCACAAGGGCCTTCACTCATCTGCTGTTATGCTTTTACACAGCGTTAGCGTCCCTCTGGCTCCCGGCAGACAATATAAAACATGATAATTCTGTACTTACATTGTACATGGACATGTACTGTTACTCTATGCGCCATGGTACAATCTATACTGCTTTGGTTTCCAATCATCCAAAATGGGCCTCGATTCTGTGTGAGCATCCCTCGAATCCTCTGATTGATTCTGCGGCTTAAAGATAAAGACAGCTTACCAGGAATACTCTAATCCAACTGAATATCAGAGTAATCCAGCAATATTTCAGAACATTTCCCTCCTTTACTTTTGATATATAATTCATTTTTTCATTATTTGAAGTCTAGGGAGAAATACAGCTCCTATTACATGTAAATCCATGTTGAGTTATCTAATAGCTTATTGCTGGAGCTCCGGGTTCCTGGATAAGACGTAGATCGGTAAATTAATTTGTCAAGAATCTACTTACTTTGTCTTCATGCATACATCAATGTGAGAGCATTTCATATTAATAATGATATTGCATTGGAGTGTGTTGATGTATCAACTCAGGATATTTGATGCTTTATTCATTATCATATGTAATCACTTCGACTTGCCCTTTGATGTAATGTACATGTGTTGAAATCATATTTTGAATGTATTGCAATGCTATAAATACACACTTTCCTTTCCCTTTCTCTTTATCCTACTTTCTGTCCAGTAATATTATATTTTCTACCACCCCTTTCTCTCATTTCTCCCTGTGTCAGTTCTTCCCATCCCCTCTTTCTATATTGTCCAATCTAATCCTCTCTCTATTCGTTCGCTTGTCTCACCTTCTCATGATCCTCTCTGGGTACCCCCCCCCCCCCCACTCTCTCCATTTTGTATCACTCTCATGTGTGTTTGCGCGAGTATCTCTTTCTTTCTTTCCTCCGTAATGATCTATCTATAATGACTGAGCTAACTCATCTGCGATTCACCGCAGAGTGCCAGAGTCTGATGAGCTCTGTGGAGGTTATCAGCGTGTCCACACACAAAATTATTTACCCCGAAACTCTGTAACGAAACGTTGTATAAAGAATCATCATATAAATTCCAGGGTGTCCTCACACAAGAAACGTTGTATAAAGAATCATTGTACATGTATAAATTCCAGGGTGTCCACACACACAAGAAAGTAATCCCGAAACTCTGTACAGCAAACCGTCGTATAGGTGCGCAGTTTGCTATTGCGGTCATGAAATGGAAGCGGAAATGAGAGGTCAGGTCTCCTTTCGCGCGAGGTCACATTAAGCCCCGCCCAGTTATACCCTTCTAGTTATACTAGTTACGTCCACACACAACACATTTCATGATTAGGCGTGATTCTTTATTGAGTTCTAGTTCGAAACGATGCCCAAACCGGCGTTTCATTGTACGACATTTCGTTAATACATGACGTGTCGTTAGTAAGCGTCCACACACACAATTTCATCGTATAACTATCCCAAAACGGTATAACTAATCACCTCTAATCACGGAAAGTGTTGTGTGTGGACACGGGTTTATCTAGGGTACCTGATGGCTTTCTTCTCTGCCTCATCACACTTGCAATTATCTGCATCCAACTCTTCAGGAAGCACTAGCTTCATTCTATCTCTGTGCCATTTAATAATGATAGCCAATTCTCATTTTTCACTGCCGTTTGCCTCATTTCATTATCGTAGTGGATAACACTATCAATGCATTCATGTCTTGATACGATTATAATTAAATAGCTGTACAGTTTCATCAGTCATGTTTGATTAATATATTTACAGGGCTTGAGCGAGGTCCGGGTTTACGGCATTACGCCAGTCGCCTTTTTTTTCTTTCTTTTGACTTTCCGTTTTTATGTTCTTTGTTATTCAGTTATTATATTTAGAAAAATGCAGAAATCAAATCAAATCAAATCAATAAAAAAAAAATCATTTGATAGCTGATCAGCCTTGGCCTGTACCTATCTTTATTTCTATAATTCCCTAATTTCGTTCACTAGGCATCAAATAGATTTATTTCTTATATCATAAATAAGATTTATGAATTTAAAAGAGCATTGCTCTACTTCATACATCATGGATGAATGTTCAGTTTAGCATTAGGTTCAGGACCCCGAGCCTCCTTTAATCACATCCTGATTTTTGAGGAACTCTTTTCCGAAATCTTCACATATCATGTGACATTTGATCCGCTCCTCTTCTTTATCAATCTGACGCTTTGGATTAGTTCCTCTTTTACCATCCTTAAACTTGAGTGTGGCTTTGTATAAATCCTTAAATCCACTACTGTAATCTAGTTCTCAGGACTTCCATAAATAGAAAGAAGAACAAATTACTTTTCAGTATAAGTGTTTCGCTTTTGGGATAGATTAAACCCTCCTCTTCCCCTATCTGAACTAGTTCTTTCAGTTCTGATTAATCATGTGAAGATGAGATTATGGCCCAAAACTTTAAATTTAATTTGCTAAAAGTATGAGATCACAGACTTTAATTCTTTTTTAAAGGCCATGGTTACCCCAGACCATATAAAAATAAATTGGGAGATTGCGGAACTTGGCAAATGCCAACTTTCTGATGGGATTTTATATGATTTTCTCTCAAATGATAGCTACAGTGGTATACACATTTTTCAAATAAAAATTGATATTGGAATTGTAATTGAAAATAATGTGAATAATTTGTAAATAAACATTTTGAAGATATATTCTCTCGAAAGATTTTATGTTTTGATAAATAAATAAAACATTGCATCTCTCTCTCTGCAAAATTGTTGCTAAAATATCTACCATATTAGGAGTCATATTTGGGCATTAAATTATAATAGTTTTCACAGCCTCAAACGAACAAATTGTTATAACATACTCATTTTTGTTTAACATTGTATAAATGTATTTATTGAATCAATTGTATTTCTGATGAACATTGTGTATACTTGTAAACTATTTTATAAATTACAATATCAGTCGACAGTAATGTAAATTATGATGGAATAAATGAAATTGATCACGTGTATATTTCATATGAATTAATCCTTTCTCATTTTTAATCATTTTATAGGTACATGTCGTTATCCCCTGGGCATGAATGACAAGGCTATCAAGGATGAGCAACTCTCAGCCAGCTCTGTCTATGAGAACAACACGCTCTCATTTGGACCACAAAATGCAAGGTTTGTGATGTGTTTTTTCTGCTATCTTGGTTCCTTAAGGATTTTATTTAAAAAAATTCTCCAGAATTTGAGACAGTTATAATTCTTCCAGGTACTGTGGGAATGCTATAAGATTATGGCAACATTGTTTAGAATACCAGTAGTAGGATATTTTATTTTGTTTTGTTTAATTGTCCATTTGGATATTATAATTCACAATGTTTTTCATCCCACTTGGGGAAAAAAAGGTTAGAAATTTACCCCGACCCTCGCACTCAAAAAAATAAAAATAAATAAAGTACAGTAAATTTAAAAGTTCATTTTAGGATTCCTTTATTTAAAGGAAATGCTACAATTGAACACTACAAGTGTATACATTCTCTTTACAATTCAGAACTGTTGATTACGAGCACTTTTTATCATGAAATATCCAAATGCTTGATCCAGAGGTGACATCAAATCTGATGTGCCCATAATTACTCATCATCATATCAAAAAGCCAAGTGAATCCCGGTTATCGTAATGCACGTGCCAGTTGGGCCTGATCGACCCATTAAAGAGTGCGGTAATTAGTTGTAATTCATTCTTCATTCAATCGTTGGGGGTTATGACTCCAATGATCAAATCAATAGCGACTGAAGTCAAACCTCCCTCCCTCCCTCCCAATGATCCTTCACACAGATGGGGCTACTAATGAGGAGTTATATGAACAAATGTTATACCCCGTTCAGACTACAGGGAATTTATACTTAATTCGTATAATGAAACGTTGTATAAAGAATTAACGTATAGCGAAAAGGAACGTACAGACTAGATAACAATATTGTATAAAGAAACGTACCGAGAAATAGGTGTTGACGAGATAGGTAGCCAATCACGTGCTTATCGTCACACTATTAAGCCCCGCCCAGTTATACAATATTTGTACCGTAGTAGGGTCCATGTTTGTACGATACAACGTTTAGATTAGAATGGGAGGCTGATTCTTTATAAAGTTTCATTTCAAAATGATGCTCAAACAAGCGTTTCGCTATACAACGTTTTGTTATGCTGTATTTCTTTATGCGACGTTCAGAACTTCAGACTAGGAAGATTTTAATCACTTATCGTATACATGTAGCTATACAATATACCATGGATTTTGGTAGTCTGAACGCAAGATAAATGACAGTGAGTACAGACTGAGTGGTATCCTCTCCAATCCCTTACACAGATGTGAATACTAATGAGGAGACGCATCAACAAAACGTTAATTGATTAGTCTAAACCCAGAGTAGGATGATTGGAGCGTTGTACGGAGAATAGATTGGTCCTGATTGGGTTTGCAGCCAGTCTTGCAATCAACGTGTACGTCTATATGTAGGATGTATTTGTCATCATTGTTGGCGCTAACAATGGGGTATGATTTAGACTAAGTGGGAGGAGGGATTATTAGATTAGATAATCAGCAAATTTGCCTGTTTTGGGATTGAATGAGAAAAATTGTTATGTGCTGTTATTGCAATCAGAGGGTAAAAGAAGGTCTGTTAGAACATTATGATTTTATTGTAACAATGAATGGGGTATGATTTAGACTAAGTGGGAGGAGGGATTATTAGATTAGATAATCAGCAAATTTGCCTGTTTTTGGATCGAAATGAAGAGACGTGTATGTGCTGTATCCCTGGCATTGCAATTAGAGGGAAGTAGGTCTGTTAGAATGTTATGATTTTATTGTAATGAAGTAGGTTCTGTCACTTATGCTATATTAAGTTTATTCTTTCATTTATAAAAAAACCAAGAATGGGATATAAAGTTAGAGTTACAAAGACACCCACTAGGCCTGTATTCATCAGCTCGAGATTGCCAAATAACCTGCTATATTAACTATTCCTATCGCAAATTATCCATTATCCAGCTAATTTGTGTCTTCATCAGCCCGCAGTCGCAATCAGCGGGATATTTAGTCCAGATAATCATTCCAAGATAACTTGGGCTAGTTTGCAAAATATCCCGCTATTTGTCTGATGCATCTTCACCAGTGCGAAGACTCGCACTATGCGCGAACGCTGAGAAACATATCTAGAGCCAATTTCTCGAGGTCGAGTATTGAGCTGATGAAGACGTGATTTGTAACTTCAGGTTTATTTCCCAAATCAGAAATAGCGAGCTATTTGGTAATCTCGAGCTGATGAAGACATATCTACTCAGAGCCAGAAGGGCATTTATCTGGTGGTGTTAACGTCCTTCTGGCTTTCAGCAGGTGGAGAAGGTTCTTGTCATCGTGTTACTTCTTCCAATAGAATTATGATTTTGAAATAAATGGGATGTACACTGTACTTTAGAGGGTCACTATTATCTCTCTTTGAACAATAGTGATATTCAGCCCTGGACCCTGTTTTATAAAAACTTGTTTAAATAATAAGTTACAGTAATACTTTTATGAGCTACTGAAATCATTGCATTGGATTGGCTGTGAGCAAAATTGTTATAGAAGTGGGACAGTTGTTATTTAATAACGATAGGTTTTATGAAACAGGGTTCTGGTACGTTAACATGTTAACTCTGACTGATTTGTCATACTGCCCTAAATAACCATTCCTTTTAAATATTTCAAGAATTTCTAAGAAGAATTTGATATGATTCCAGATATATTTCAGGCCTCTAAGTTCTCATTATTAAGCTAATAAGCCTAAAGCTTACGGTTTCCTGAAGGGCATGTAAATCTAAAAGGGCCAAGGTTCTTATAGAAAAAAAAGAATGATGTACGGGGAAGAGAGAGAGAGAGAGAGAGGGGGAGAGAGAGAGAGAAAGAGAGAGGGAGGGAGGGAGGGAGGGAGAGAGAGAGAGAGAGAGAGAGAGAGAGAGAGAGAGAGAGAGAGAGATAGAGGGTCAGTTTCTTCTCCACATCAAGATGCAGGAAGGAAAGAAAGGAAGGAAAAGAGTAAGACTTAAAGGGAAACCTCAACAACTTATAAATCATTTTAAATTTAAAAACTTTGTAGTGCTATTTAAAACAAATTGAGAAATATGAGGTAAAGATGCACTATTTTGATGAGCATCAGTCCAGCTGTATTGTCATTTAGACTTTATGAATACTTCTTTCTCTTTTTCTATAAAGTATTTAAATCCGTTTTTATTCCATAAGCTCCTTTGGGATTTTTGATAGAAATAAAAGTTTTTCTATAAAGGGTAATTTTTATAAATCCATTCTTATTCAAAAAGCTCCTTTAGGCATTTCAGTCGTTGTAAGAAATAACCGAAGGGTAATTTTGTGTTTCTCTTTTTCCTATAAAGCCCATTTTTTCTTTTTATTCAATGTTCTCTAGATATTAAACCAATTTACTTCCATTGCTCATGTATTGTGCAAGGCGTGGAAGATGTAAAGATTCCTCTATTATTAACAGGAAATTGTGCAAAATGAAGCAATTTGATTTACCGGATTGTCTCTCTTTGTAGTCGAGTTGGAATAGTGCAAATCACAGGGAAGGTGTTGAGAAAAGGAAGTGTAGCACTTTAGAAAACCCCAGGGCAAGGAAATGTTATCAAGCTTCTGAGATCAAAAAGGATGATTGCTATTCCTGCCAACTAAAAATATGAAATTCATGTGGGATTCCGAGTGCTGTTAAGTGTTTAAAGGGAAATCTAACCTTGATAGCAAACTATATTGTAGAGGAAAGAAGAATATTAGAGAAGTAGACTGGTTAAAAAGTTCTGAATGAAGTCGGACAAAAAATGAGAAAATTCTGAATTTTGTAAAGTTGTAATCACTATCGGTTTAGGCCCTTCAAATTAGCTGAATAGGTTTAATGTTGCTGTGAAGTGGTAACGGACAACTTTCCAATCTTTTTCCAACACACAAAATAACTTAAATATCAACAACAACAAAATAAATGTATAACTCGGAATGGTCTTTTCTTTTTAGAGGACCTATAACAATATACTCTCCATAATATTTTTTGAGTAGTGCCTCAAGGGTGAAGGCACTTGAGAGAAAAACAGAAATTAGTGATATTTTGTACATGAAAATCAGGACAATCCACTGACAATATTTTTGTGATTTACATAGACTTGATCTCATGTTTCAAACATTCATAACTTTCTTATTACCGTATTGGTCCCGCAATGGTCCGATTTTTTCAAACTTTAGCCATTCTGCTTCTCTGATTTTTCTGCTTTCATTCAAATGAACTATATATTACATGGGGTTGGATTGCCGTAACGCCCTTCTGGCTCCAAACAGGTAGTATGTCAGGGCACTCGCCCTAGTGAGAGGAACCAGGGTTAAGTTCTCCTGACAGCAACGCTGATGCAATATGACAGCAGTACTAGGCTAATCTGCCCGTGTTAGAGCGTAATTGGATAATTTGGATAGGAGGAAGTACAGGCAAGGCACTGTTGAGAAATGTGCTAATTCCACAAATTAGATTGGATTATTAAGCCATCTCAGTTGCGTGATAAGTGAGGCACATGTATACTGCACTATTCATGGTAGCCTGAAAATAAAAGCGTCCCACTTTTTCATTCCCTGTTGGGCACAAATGGTGCCAATGTACTGTACGAAATGAATCAGAATCAGAATCAAAGAATCATGCATCACGGAGTGTGAAGTTGAGAATATTTTACAGGAAACATGCAAAATTTACATTAAATTTGTTTACATAACCAATCACATTACTTTAAGTGTTGATATATGTTGTTGCTTTTGAAAGAGCACAGCTAAGACCTGACATGCATGGTGCTACATATGTACACGAGGAAGGCTTTCTTCATTTGTTTTCATTTTGTAATGGTTCTTGTGTGATTGAATGAGAGACATCCCAAACTATGTTTTTGCATGATATTTGAAATATAGACTTGTGATTATCAAACTCAAAACAGATGTCCTGTATACATGTATGTGCCTTTATGAAACCACTTTCCTTCTAATCATAATCACCAATAGAATTTCAAATGTTCAATCTTTGCCAGGAAAAATAATACATGGGGGCTCAGGGCGAAGTAGCCCACGAAGTAGCCCCGAAATGCTAAAAAGAGCCTCTGAAATCATAAAAGAGCCCCCCAAAATTTGCTTAGATTTCAATGCAAAACAAATTAAAGTGTGTTATTTTCATGCAAGCAAGCTTGAAAAGTAGCCGCCCAAATTTTTAAACATTTTTTCCCCTGATCTTTGCCGGTTACACCTGAAAGTCATAAAAGAGCCACCAAAAATTTGCATAGAGTTCCATGCAAAACAAATAAAAGAAAGTTATTTTCATGCAAGCAAGCTTGAAAAGTACCCCCCGAAATTTTAAAAATATTTTTACCCTGATTCTTTGCAGGTTGCACCTGAACCAGGGTGCTGGAGCTTGGTGCCCGGTCAACGCCCAGCCAGAGTCCAGTGGTCACTACGAGTACCTCCAGGTGGACCTTCTCAACCTAACGGTCATCCTAGCCCTGTCCACACAGGGTAGATGGGACACGAACTTCGGGAATGAATACACAAGTCGTTTCAGGCTGGAGTTATCGAGAGACGGCGGAAAGACGTGGATCCGATATGTACAGATGACAGGAGAGGAGGTACGTTTTAATTATAATTTTTATTAATTTATTTATATCCACATCAAGATAAAAACAATATAACATAATCTTCAAAATACAAACATGTATTATGAGATAACTGAAGTGTCATGTTAAAAATAATCCTCACAAAGTATCCAACTTAACAATAACTTTGGTACATAATTTACATAATATCAATATTACACAAACAGAAAAATGGGGGTCATAAAGAAAATAGAGAAAAGAAGGAGGAAACAATGTATTTTCTGTCATTTCCTGTCCTTTTCTCTCTCTTTATTTGCATTGAAACATCGCCTTATAAGAAGTTATTTCTGCAGGAATTTTATTTTCATGAATTGATCATGGATTTGACAACACAAACAATTGCATGTGGAAATCACCATAAACTCTTACATTTATTTACCATTTGATGCACTAAGATTTCTCTACATCTGTAGGATTATACAACACATATATAGTTAATGTTTTTCTTTTAAATTCATCTTTTTTCTCATGAGAGGGTTTAACTATCCCGCTCAAAAAACATTCAGTGTTTGTCTTATAATTTTGTTTTATTTTGGATGCCTCCCCTCGCTCTCTGTTCAGGTTTTTGTCGGTAACCGTGACACCAACTCCCAGATCACAGTCCATATCAGCCCTCCCATCGTGGCCCAGGTCCTGAGAATCATTCCGGTGGTCCTGATCCAGACACCAGTCTGCATGAGGATAGAACTCTACGGATGCAAATGGCTGGGTAAGTCCAAGACCATTTGATGGTCCCTAGTCCAGAGCTAGAAAAGTAGTACACTCAAACCTGTCTATAGTGACCGTCCAAGGGAAACACAAACAGTGGTAACTAAGGCAGGTTTGACTGTATCACATTCAATGCGGTGTACAGGCATGATTTAGTCCAGGTCCAAACACTGGTCCGTACGAGGATGCAAATGGCTTGGTAATTCCAGGACCGTAAAGATGGCTCCTAGTCTTGATTTGAAGCTTTCACAAATTACTATTGACAAATGTTGCTAAAAACTTGAATAGGCCTCTCTGAAGACAATCAGCTTTCATAGGCCTGTATTGTAATCGGACAGGTATTCCTCTGCAGTTATAACGAAAGGACATTTTTATGATTACAAGTACATGAAAATGAGTGGTTTTTATGTTTTACGTGGAAGTTTCATGCAACAAATAACTGAATCACAACCGACGCAACACCATTTGTTTTGCAATTCACAAAGGTTTCTTGCCTAAAAAAATGACTACCCTTTACAATTCGCTAAAGTTTATAGTCTTTCAGTATACATGTGTATGCCCGTAGTTTTCAGTTAACTGGTATTTTGCAGTTAACATAAAAGGACAATTTTACAATTACAAGTACATTTACATGTAGCAATTGCCGGACAGATTTTCCCTCCCATTTTGTGCTTACACATCACATTCAACACCAGCCCTTTTTTTTATGACTAGGGGAGGGGAGAAAAGAAGAAAAAAATGAAATGTTGGCATCTTGACACAGAGGTGATTGACTGACCTACTTCACCTGTCTGCGTTGCCTAGCAACACAGACTATTAGCCCCACCTGTGATGTAGTTTCGGTTGACTGACAAGTTCAAGTCATATGTACAATGTACATGTAGCTCTGTCTGCCTGGGCAAGGGAGGTTTTATTTTTTGCTTCAAATATCAGGTCTGAAGGGATACTTGGAAGAGTGGATGCAATGTTTTAACAGACTTATTAAAGATTACAAGTGTTTTTTTTTTTTAAAGAAAGAAGTCTACTTGGTTGAGTCTCCTATTAAAAAAAAGATAAGTGGAAGACTTATTAAAGACTATATTGAAAAGGTTACATTGTGAAAAAGATTCTTTACAACAAGTAGAAGACTTAGTAGAGAATTTTGGATGAATGTGATGGAATTTTTAGTATTTCTGAGTTCATGAAAAACTTGATTTCTCATCCTACAAGAAATGGCCATGTACATTTTTGTATATTTCAGTTATTTCTTCAAATTTTTAACAAATACATCAACTTATAAAGCTATCTTGATAATATTAAAAAGCTATCCTGAAAGAAATAATTATGTTCGCTTTGTAAACAAAATTATTATTTAGGGGAAATACTTTACAATATAACACTGCACATTGAAAATATGTGCCGTTCAAAAACATTGAAATATTTAACATGGACATGTGATGCATCCTCACAAATCAATAAAACTACTTTAAAGATGCAGAAATGAGATGATGCATGCGATTGCTTCTAAAAATATAGTCTGTCATTTGCGCAAGCAATGAAGCGGAGAGACTCGAGTGAGCCGCGGTATTTTTTTGCTAGGTTCATCTGCCTTGGACATGGAGTCTCTCAATCTCGGGGGAAATGAGAGGAGCTAGAGTGCTAGTGGAAATGTGTGCATGTTGAGTGTCGGTAAATACGAGTTGGCTTTGTCAACATGACAGAAGATTGGATGAGAGAGAGAGAGAGAGGATGGAGAGAGAGAGAGAGAGAGAGAGAGGGAGAAGATGAAGGGAAGGTATGAAGAGAGGAAATTGGGGAGAGGATGGAATAGGAGAGGGAGGAGAGCTCTGGTGGAAATGTGTGCATGTTGAGTGTCGGTAAATATGAGTTAGCTTTGTCAACATGGTAGAATTTTGGATGAGAGAGGGAGAGAGGAGAGAGGATGGATAAAGAGAGAGAGAGAGAGAGAGAGAGAGAGTGGGGGGGGGGGAGATGAAGAAAAGATATGAAGAGATGAAATTGGGGAGAGGATTGTATGTGGGAGAGAGAGAGAGAGAGAGAGTGAGGGAGAGAGAGAGGGAGAGAAGATGAAGGAAAGGTATGAAGGGAGGAAAATAGGGAGAGGATTGTAGGTGGGAGAGAGAGAGGAGAGCTCTGGTGAAAGTGAGTGCATGTTGAGTGTCGGTAAATACGAGTTGGCTTTGTCAACATGGTAGAAGATTGGATGAGAGAGAGAGAGGATGGAGAGAGAGAGAGAGAGAGAGAGAGAGAGAGAGGGAGAAGATGAAGGGAAGGTATGAAGAGAGGAAATTGGGGAGAGGATGGAATAGGAGAGGGAGGAGAGCGCCAGTGGAGATGTGTGCATGTTGAGTGTCAGTAAATATGAGTTAGCTTTGTCAACATGGTAGAAGATTGGATGAGAGAGAGAGAGGATGGAGAGAGAGAGAGAGAGAGAGAGAGAGAGGAGAAGATGAAGGGAAGGTATGAAGAGAGGAAATTGGGGAGAGGATGGAATAGGAGAGGGAGGAGAGCGCTAGTGGAGATGTGTGCATGTTGAGTGTCAGTAAATATGAGTTGGCTTTGTCAACATGGTAGAAGATTGGATGAGAGAGAGAGAGAGAGAGAGAGAGAGGGGGGGATGAAGAGAAGGTACATGTATGAAGAGATGAAGTAGGGGAGAGGATGGTTATTAGGAGATGATGAGATTTTGAGATCAAGTTTCATGAAAATAAGGAAGTTATTCATTGAATGAAATGTTTGAATGGTTGTTTTAGGGGTAGGGAAGAAGGGGAGCAGAAATGAGAGAATGGAATTGGACAAAAAGAGACAGAGACAGAGACAGAGACATAAAGGGGCAAAGAGAGAAAGAAAAGATGAATAAAGGCAGAGATGAGACAGAATATACAGAATCATGTAAAGTGTAAAAGAGACAATGCTCATGACATTGGACACAAAAGGTAAAACAGGACGCTACAAATAACACCATCTGAAATAGGAAACATAAGACCCCCCCCCCCTCTCATGTCAAAGAACCCTTCATTCTCTTTCCTAATTCTCTTGTTAGTTGACACGGACCAACCAGAGATTGGAATTTACTCTCCTGTAGCACTCTACCAAAATACCACCGAAAATATCACCGCGCTGCACTTGTCGAGTTTGTACAGCTTGTTTTCTCGTACCTACCCAAATATGGGGAGAGAAAAAGAAAAGCATTCTGGTTGTTATGTCTGGGGATGATAAAGGAGATGATATTTCATCTCCAAGGAAAATGAAATGAAGCTGACCTTATCCGACCCCTTGACCTCCAGGGGTTAGGGCTCGGGCAACTTTCCCTGAATTTTATGACCTCTGTTTTCAAGTTGTCTCATATTTCTGTTCATTTTAAACCATTTTTTTTTTCCCACTTCATTTTCATAATTTGTCTGTGGCCATTTTTGAAATCTCATGGTTTTTGCTCTATTATATTTTGACTTTGTTATCTCTTTTTGCTCTTGGTCCTTCATCTTCTTTAAAAAAACAAAATTATATCTACATTACTTTAAAAGAGAAAACATTTAAAATATTATGAATATAACAAGTATGTTATTATATAATTTCCTTTCCATTGGCCCATTCCCCAAAATAATTATTGTGAACAATACAGCAGTGGAATATACTCTGAACTAGTTCAAAGTCATTTTTTTAAGCATTTTCCACCACCCCCCCCCCTAATTTTGCCTTGAACTGCAAACGAATTGAATTATTTTGTTAGGAACATGATATTTTTACATTCTTGTGAAAGTGCATTCTATATTAAAAGGAACCATGGCCTTTGTGATATTGGATGATGTATTAGGGAGCTAGTCTCAGTTGGCAGTGTGTGACGAGATGACATTTTCAAACCGCATTTCACGCTGTAAAATCAGCAACTTTCAAGACTCTTTTAAATTGTACAGCACCACCATTTCTGCTGAGAAGAAACTTATGTAAATTGCAAAAATTCAGTGCTGTGTCAGTAGGGATTTGAATAATTTGTGGCGTGAAACTTTCATAAATTGAATTAACTGGCAATTTGAAAGATCTATAATACTTCACATTTTTGTTATGGACAGTATTTGATTTGTCATTTGATTTCAGGCATGAAACTTTCATGAATTGAATTAACTGGCAATTTGAAAGATCTACAATACTTTTCATTTTTGTTATGAACAGCACTTGTTTGTCATTTGATTTCTGTTAAGTCATTCATATAAATGTTGTGGTCAAGTGGATGTGTCACTAGACTGTGTATCATTTGAATGTAAGGAGCTTAGTAACATAGTATCAAACGCTATACAAATATGACCTTTATTGTTTATAAAGACATTAAAGTGATGCACTTCATGATTTGTCTACGGTTACTGAACTATTTTCATAGAACTGGTACAGAGTGGAGAGGGACAAAACAAAACTTTTCTCATAGTCCTATTCAATGATAATTTTCAGGATGAAAATGGGATTAGATTTTATTCGACTTGTGATATAAACTTTTTAAAACAACATCATTTGTCGAAACTCGGCACACTTTACAGTTCCGACATACATCCTTTTTTTTTTCCTGTGTGCTTCACTGTAACTTGTGTCTGGATTGTAGACTAAGCTTGTTAAATACTCTCATGGGTGACTCTGAACCAGAGCTCTAAATCACATTGAAATATGTAATATTTGATCCAAGTCAAATATATGTGGCTGGGAGGATTGGTTGGTTCCCATAGTGCATTATTTATGGCCTTCCATAGGACAATGAGCTAGGGTAGTCTGCAAACGCATACCCTTATCAGTCAGTTGTGGGTAACAAAGTGTCTGTACACTGAGACTACGCAGTCGCATGGTCTACTGCACTCCATAGGCTCTGTGCTTAAGCTTTTCCCGACACAACCATAGACTGAGAGAGCTAGGCTTGTCTCTGGGCTTTCAAAATTGTGGTCAAGCATCACATTAGAGTCTGTACTTTGAGACTAGGACTAGAGGAACCTGTTAGAGCTTACAGGAGAGGCACAAGGTTGTATGTGACTCCAGGATGATTACTTCAGAAGGCCGTTACAACAAGACTGTAATCTAATAGTGCAAATGCACCTCACAAGGACATGGGAAATATCACTGAAATTGTTTGAGAGTGACTAATGCGTAATAAGATTGAACAAAATGTCGCATGTTTGGAGCCAGAAGGGCATTAACTCATATTGTTTGATGCAGAGGTAACGCCTTTTTTGCTCACAACAGACGCTGTGTGAAGTGGATTGGTTTGATTTAGAAAGGAAGAGTAAGTGAAAGACAAAAGAATCACTGCAAAAGAGTTACCCTAAAACATTGAAACCTGTATCTAAAGCCCACACAAGGGAGGCATGTTTATAGGTACTGGTAGATGGTCTTTATGTACAGGTTCCTTGAATGTTTCAATGGAAATTTCTGTCAAAGGGAAACAAAAATGTCTTTTTCTACAAGGTGTTGATAAAGCGGGTTACAATCAGACATATGTAGTCATGTACACATTTTATGACACGAAAAAATAATCTTAAGAAATATCTGTTTAATTTAGCCTGTAATTGATTACCTTCCATGTCCGTACCTGTCCTATTGCACTTTTGTATATATTTATCATGTACCTCATCTTTTGCGCAAGCTATGCCTTGAGCATTTGATTGTCAAGTGGATTTGGCGCCATACAAATCTTATGTATTATTATTATTATCATTTATCACCTATTTGCAAAAGTTTCATGTTACAATCATTTATTGGTTTTACAGTGATAGTCCAATTTTTGTACAAATTTGTTTTTGTAACTGCAGACCATTTGAAGTCGTACTCGATGCCAACCGGCGATACTCGTGGCGAATACGTCTTTGAGGACGACACATACGACGGCTACACGTTTGAGGGTCAGAGGATGAACGGACTCGGTCAGCTGACCGATGGAATGCTTGGACATAGTAATTATCGGCTCAGCCCATACAACGTACCACAAGGGTAAGCTTTTTTTTGTTTTGTTCTTGTTGATTGATTCAAATTTATTCCATTTCATATATCGATTGTTTGCACAATAAAGAACTTAGTTGACAAAGCAAGTTCAAAATTATGAAATGAAAAAGGAACCTACTGGAAAGCTTAGCTTGTTTTGCCAAGCTTTGCCAAGGATGCAAACAGAATCTGGCTTTATGAATCCTATGTAGGTGAAATCAGCTTGTTTCCATGGAAAGTGTGATTTGGCTTTGGATAAAAAAAAAGTTAGTCACTTCTCAAAGATCTGTCAAATATATGTAGGCTGGTAATAAACTAATTTCTAGCAGAATAGATGTGACTTGAGTAGTTTCTTGAAGTGGTCAACAGATGAGGCCGTTTGCACAGCAGTAGGTAGCTGGTTCCACAGTTTTGCAGCAAAATCAATCTGATCGACTTAATATTTGTGATCCTTTGATTCTTATTCCTTCAGTTACGAGTGGGTTGGATGGCGGAACACCAGCCACCCCAACCCCGAGATCACCTTCGAGTTCGACTCGCTGCGCAACTTCACCAGCCTCGGTTTCCACGTCAACAACTACTTCACCAACAACGTGGAGATCTTCGACGCCATCGAGGTCCAGTTCAGCATCCGCAAGGGTCACTTCTCGCCTCGGTCCATCTACACCACCATCCGGCCCGACAGTGACCATCAGGACGCCCGGTGGATAACGGTCAATCTGGGTAACCGCGTGGCGCAGTGGCTCAAGGTCGCGCTGGTCCACCGAGGAAAGTGGGTGCTGGTCAGCGAAGTGTCGTTCGAATCAGGTATGTTCATGAAGTGATGATAATAAGTACCAGATAACAAATGCAGTGAAAAGTGTATTATAGAGACCAGGGGGGTGTTTCACAAAGATCCTAAGTATAACTTAACTCTAAGTTGGACTTCAAAATTATGGAGAGCCATGTGTAACCTTAAAATAAAATATATTCAAAAGCAGAAATTAAAGTATTTTAAACTTTTATAAATTCCGTATCAAGAACATGAAATCCCCTAATGATAATAGAAAATATGAAAGATTTGTTTCAACATTTCATGCCTTTTAAAATAACTTTTACATAATATTTTAAAAGATGCTAACGGCTTTTCATAATTGTTAAGTCCTACTTAGAGATAAGTTCAACTTAAACTCTCTGTGAAACTCCCCCCTGTACTTTTTTTTAAACTTCTTAAAAGTAGTACAACAACACCTTCCCTGGTGGGGCATCTGCTAGATTTATGTAGTCTGCATTAATATTGTGACTCAACTATCGCTACGTGAAAACCTGTTTTTGGCGGTACGAATGAAGATAAAACCTTACTTTTCGAAAGCAAACCCTGTACATGTACTTACACAACATGCACATAAATTTATGTCCTAATTCTATTTCATCTGTTTGAGACATTCATCCGATAATTTTACTGCTCTCTGCTCACAAGAAGAAGAAAAAATAAATAAACTTAAAAAAATAAAAAATAAAGAGGATAGATGAACTACAAAGTTTCAAATGAAAGAGAAAATGTATCCCCCGAAAAAACATATACCATGGAATGCTTGAACCTTCCACTCCAACCTAGCAGGTTTTTACTGATCATAATACGTATGCTGGAGTTGGCAATTAATGTAGCATGTATGAGATATTCCTAGGTATATATATTTCAATAAGTTTCTGTGTACAGCATTGTTTTTTTTTATATAACTTAACATTAGTTGCTTTATTTGTAGTATTAATGTAGATACTTTTATATAATTAATGTTTAGGATTTGTACATGCACCACAGTATTCAAACTAAAATCCTAACGTTTAACAGTATACAATTAATTCAACACAGTGTAGAATTAAATTGATGAGACTGAATATTTTTACTTCATCACCTATCATTTCTTCTTATGATATTTATTATCTTGGGCATGATTATGTATAGATTGCATCATATGAGTAAGAAAGAAATGACTATGAGAAAATGATATTTGACAAATTGATATTGAATTGCATTTGGATCTGAAATATATGTGATTGACCATTTAATGAATCCTTGTTAGATTATGTATGCATGTTAAACTGCTATTTTTCTTGTTACCGTATATCTTATCCTTCTTTTTTAATATATATATCAGATGTTGTATTGCTTTATTATGCATTTTGTGATTGTTAATATGAATATATATTGCCTCGTTCATGTAGAAATGGTGAAATGCACATTGCGCAGCACACAAATTGTAATGAAATGGATTGAATGCTGTCAGCTGTTATTGTCTTAAAGTTAAAATCTATGTAAAGTTGCTTTAAACAGCACATTGTCAATATAATCATGAATCATTTTCATTGTGGAAGTTTTTAAAAATGATCATGATGCGGAAAAGTGACGGTCAGTGTTAGCAGGGGAAACTTACAACCGAGAGAATGCTGAAGAAAATTGACAATTATTTCATTGCGTTGGCATTTTTTTTGCCCAAAATTTAACAGCATTTGATGTGCATCGCTTGTCTCAATTCTTCAGCAATCAATCCTGCATTTCTTTTACCTGTACAAACCAAAAAAGTTTATATTTCAATGGTCTTGATTTCCCCATATTTTGACATTTCTTTTAGTACTGGGATGAACCCTTTGTGCCGAAATTTGATTATTTTCATCAATTAAACTTGGCTATTCTCAAAGAGTCAAAGCCTTACAGACCAAAATCAGGGATGACCTGATCCGCGACCTCAAAGTCCCAATCGCATCCATCTCCAAAATGTGCATTTCACCTGTGGATACCACATACTATATTCCGTGTCCTGTTTCTGTTTTGCTATGACCACTTACCCTTAACTCACTCACACAGAGGATATCCCAGACAACTTTGACACTAGCACGGCCACCTATGACACCCCCGTAGTTGGTCCGCCCTCTGCAGGTTTGTGCATTTGCTAATTGCTTTCTAGCCCGTAGACTGTAATGAGTTTTTCTTGATTGCGTTCGGTGGACGTACATGTATCACTATTAATGAGTATTGTTAATGACATTTTAAAGGTAGTGTATTCATGGTGATGTGTACTTTACTGACTTGCGTTTATAGCTTCAGTAGCTTGTTGGTATTGTATGTGTAACTGTTTGCTCTTTCCTGCATTTTCACGATTTATTTTACGTTTTGTGTGGATTACTCTACATCCTGAGTATTCTCTGTCTCCCTGTCTCGGTCTCTGTCTTCCCGTTGTCTCTTTGTCCCACTTTCTCAGGGCCTTTGTTAGCTGTGTCTGTCTTTGTTGTATCTTTCTTCTCTCATTCCCTCACATTCCTCCTCCTCCTCCTCCTCCTCCTCCTCCTCCTCCTCCTCCTCCTCCTCCTCCTCCTCCTCCTCCTCCTCTCTCCCATTCTCTTTCTTACTTTCTCTTTTTCCCCCTTTCCATCTTCTTCTTTTACTGCATGCTTTAAATAATTGTTTATCATTGAAATAAATGGACTTTTTAACTTAGACATTGGTTGAAGCAATAGACTAATGAAATTAAATGAAGCAATTAGTATTGTATATTTTATTTTTACTTGAATTAAATTTTTAAATTCTCTCTCTCTCTCTCTCTCTCTCTCTTCCTCCCTCTCTCCCTCTTTTCATCCCTCTCTTTCCCTCTTTCTCTTTCTCTCGCTCCCTCTGTAACTGAAATTTTAGTCTAAATATAATATTAGAAACTTGCTATTGCGCATATTTCATTTTTGAAATGATGAATCTTATCTAGAGAAATAACAAATAGCAGTCCTGAAATTGATAATTGAAATTGAACTATTATAAATCATCTGGTAACAGATTTGCCTCAGACATCACAAACCTGTTGTACCCATGATTCTACTTTTACTCAAAAAGAAACCTTTCCATCAGGGTGATGTGAAGTATGGGACATCTTTCATTAGGGATTCCTGCTGCCAACTTTCATTGGCTGTGACCTTGGGAATAGCATGCCAAGTTCATGACATAGTTCCTGTCAGATCTCTGACATATATTGCACTTTTACCGATATCTAGATATACGACTTAAAGGAATAGACCAGTTCTGGTCATGCGATTGCATTGTGAAAGAAACGGTGTGGAATCGATCAGAAAAGGTTGATCATCTAGCATATAAGTATTGTTGTCTACTGCAATGTTCTGATATCAATCAAAATGATAAGAAATTTGGCCCAGTCTTGGTAAAGTTACAAGCACTGTACACAGAAAGATGTATATGGGACTACCCTTTATCTATCCAGTCCAGATAGATATTATCATTTACCAAATATATCAATTAGTGTCCCAGCAAAGTTTGTATAAGGACGTACATGTATTAGTAAAAACATATTCTTTCACATGATTGGTAATAAGAGCTTCCATTTCATATTTTGAAATAGAGGCATTTCCAAAACTGGTCTTTACCTTTAAGAAAAACCAAACTCTATTAAAGAAAACCAACCATGTTTTTTGCATTTTCTTATCGCCTGTAATCATAACAAATAGTTTTCACAAATTATTTTCCATTGCAGCTATGAACAAGTTATTGAAATGTTTGATTTTTCTCCCATTAATTCTGCAAATGGTGCTTGGATTTAATCACATTCTTTTCTTTCAGTTTTGGGTGAAAGGGTGCTTAGTACATGTATCTCCCTGTTCTTTTCACTCCGTTATTGTACTAACCATTTTATTTATTTAAAAAAATCTTCTCTTTCAAACTAACACAGATTTCACAACATGATGTATTGTCTATTTATTTCCATATATTAGATATATAGTTTTTTCTTCTTCATGTTTTATTTGTTGTTTCATAGTCCTGCTTTCTTATTTCTTGATGTTATTACTTCTATTGGGTACAGCAGTGTATTTAGTGGCCCGAATTCACAAAGGAGGTTTGTCGACAAACCTAGGTTTATGTGCATCATATGATGCTTTTCGATGCGTTTCAGACCAAGGTTCAGACAAACCTTGGTCTGAAACGCGTCATATGACGCACATAAATCTAGGTTTGTCTACAAACCTCCTTTGTGAATTTGGGCCAGTGTGTTTAATCAGAGATAAATGTTGTTAAAGACCACAAGTTATTACAGTGGAAAAAACATGCATCATTGAATTACGGACAATTAGAACATGCAGTGCAGAAATAAGAGGGGAACATTGCTAGGTAGAGGAGAGGGGGGGGGGGGGTGTGGTCAATTGTTGTGATATAAAATGTTCAACCTATATATTAAAAGGACCTGACAGATGAAGTAGCTTTTGATAGACCAGTTTACTAACATATATTCAAATTTATGGATGTTTCTTTCCTGGGGACCTTGTGACGAGTTATCCATTAACGAATGAATTAATGAATGAACTACAATACTTGGAATCCAGTCTGCAAACGTTACTTGTTGCTATGTTGGGCAAGCTTTCAGGTTGTCAAGAATAACCTTTGTTTAAAAAGTATGAATAACATTTAAATATGTTTATAAACCGATCTTTTGTAAGATGGAGATTACAGTTTACAGCAGGAAACAGCGATAAATAGCACCTGCCAATACTTGAAAAAATCCAGTCTGCAAACGTTACTTGTTGCTATGTCGGGCAAGCTTTCAGGTTGTCAAGAATAACCTTTGTTTAAAAAGTATGAATAACATTTAAATATGTTTATAAACCGATCTTTTGTAAGATGGAGATTAAAGTTTACAGCAGGAAATAGCGATAAATAGCACCTGCCAATACTTGAAAAAATTGTGATGTTTACTTTGGTTTTGATATGAAATCCAATTAGAGTTTGTCCACTTTGTATTGATCAGGTCCTGTTGACCACACGACAGTGTCCACTACAGACGCTGACCATGTTATTCCACAGACAGGGAATGGAACCCAGAAACCAAATCTGATCAGCTCTACCAAGAAAGCCGGTGGTAAGATCCTCTTTCCTTTTTTTTCCTTCTTTTTCTTTCTCATTCTAATTCTATCCCTCTGCATCTCGGAATAGTTCACTAGATCAATGGCGCATGATGGATGCTGTATTATCATTATATTATTATTATTATGGTATTCTTTGGTCCTTCTTCAATTCCAACATAAGTCCTGTTTTGTCCGAAGCAAAAATACATTCTATGCCAGAATATGATTTTAGATTTTAGTAGAGGTGTAGATAAGTTGATAATTAGGTAAAATTTCTGTTCATTCACTTTTACATTCGGCGTTTCCAATTTATTCTTTTGATGAATGTGTATGTTATGAAAGGAAACAGAAAAGCGATTTCAAATTAAGGGTAACATTTTCCAGTACTTCGGCAATTGAATAGGTAATGCGATGGTTGTTCTGCAGTAGTAACAGGGTCACCTGGGTCCGTAGGTCTCTATTTGATATTAAACATCAGTAGTTTAAAGAAATGAATCGATTATCAAAGCCCTGAATTGTTCAGACTAAGTCATGAACTGGGCATCTCCTTTGTGACCTATATATTTTTTCCTTTGTTTACAATTATTATTTCTGATTTATTCATCTAGAAACAAAATGCAATAATGTATTTTTTGAAAGATAAGTAACGCCATGACCAATGCCACATAACTTTCTGTTTATTGGTAATACAGTCAAACCTGTCTATAGCGACCACACAAGGGAAACACAAAAAGTGGTCTTTGTAGACAGGTTCATTTAGTACATGTTTCAATACGGAACCATTTTCAAGGGAAACAAATAATGTGGTCTTTGTAGACAGGTGGTCTTTGTAGACAGGTGGTCACTAAAGCAGGTTTGACTGTATTTACATCGTAATTGCTCTTCTTCTATGAACAACAGGAGGAGTATCCAACACCCCGGCCCAGAGATCACCGATCGGTACCGTCATCAGCGTCGTCGTGACCGTCCTTCTCCTCCTCGTCCTCCTCTTCGCCCTCCTCCTCTTCCTCTACCGACGCAAGTACATCAAGCTCAAGCACCGCCTCCCAACCCTTGCCTTTGAGGCCAACTGCAATGGGGGCGGGGCCACCATCAACAACTGCCCCACGATCGCGACCATGACGACGGTACCGAGTCGGCGGTCCAACCCGACGTACCAGATCACGCACCCCGATGATGAACCGCAGTACCATGTGATTGATAACATGATGGTGGAAAGTGAAGACGAATTGGATAATGGTGAGATCGTTTTCCTGCTTGATGAGCCCCTTTGAATGCGATCTTGAGACGTGAATGCTGGTTTTATGTAGAAAATAATAAAGTGTCGACCCATTCTTGTACGATTTCCCAATACCGCAGTAGGCAGTACATTTGAAAGGAAATCTCGCCCCAAGAAATAACTTTTTTTATTCTGAGAGGTTTATTGTATTCTTGGTAATAATAAATGTGCCTCGGAATAGAATTATCTAGATAGACGGCGCTATAGAAATGCCTATTATTATTATTATAATTATTAATCTACAAGATTTCCCTCCAAAGTGTGTAAGAGAGGTATAATAAAGCAAGATATTCTTAGCTAATAATGTAGAGTTTCTCAGTTTCTCATGTTTGAAAGAGAGGTCTCTTTATTTTCCCTTTTGTTTGAGGGACCACTGAACAGATTTCAGGTTTTGAATTATTCTTTTTTCAGTATTTTTTAGGCCTCATGCTATATATTGGGCTTGAGTATCTCTAGGTCTCTTGAGCCTAATTGAGTCAAACTAAATTGTTTTTCTTCATTATAATAGCAATCTTATGATTTTATGATTCTTAAATTGCTGGAAGATTTATTTCCTTCGTAGTCTGTTTTTATATCAATTCCAAAGTCTTTGTTTAGAGAAATTTTAATTATCACTGTATCACTCCAATTTCTAAGAAGAAAGACATAGTGCCAATTTGTATAAAAAAATTGTTACGCTTCTTTTTTCCCCGTAGTTTCCGAGTCATCTAGAATATATGCGGAGCCTGAGAACCCAACCTGTACATACAAAGACAAACACAACATGCTACAACATTATGCTGAAACGGATCTTATTAATATACAGGTAACTACTTAAATTCTGACTGAAATGCCACCTTTGTTAAAAACTGTTTCTGTGAAAATAACCTGCTATCGACTCGAGTATTCATGCTTTATGATATTTGGCCTCTGCATTTATCTTGATTCTTTGACTCACCTTCATACTTTCAAATTTTCAATTTTTGTGTATGTATTTCAGTTGTCACTTGTTATGTAAATCAATTTTATGCTATTATTGTTATTTGAATATTTTGTATTTGATATTTAAATAATTTTTTTTTTTTAAATATGTAGAAGTTAGAGCTGTTGTCGAATTCCATGTTTACTTTGGTTGACACGGTGGGTTGAATTTGTGACCGATTTTGAAAGTTGTCGACAAGACATGATCGGTAAATTTCATATGCAAGAACAAGTTTCTGTTGTTGCAGGAGACCTACTGCTGCACGCAATTGGTTTTGTGTATGTAAGAATTAAAGGTAAAGATCAGTTCTGGTCACGTGAAAGAAACGTGGAATCGATCAGAAAAGGTTGATCATCTAGCATATAAGTATTCGTGTGTACTGCAAGGTTCTGGAATCATCAAAATGATAAGAAATTTGGCCCAGTTTGGTAAAGTTACAAACACTGATATGGGACTACGCGACACGTGCGTGACACGTGCGTGATATCTATCCGGTCCAAATAGATAAAATAATTTACCAAATATATTAATTAGAAGGCGGTTTCCTGGCAAAATTTGTACGATCACGTATTAGTCAAAACATATTCTTTCCCATGATTGGTAATAAGAGCCCCCTATTCATTTTTGAGAGGGGGGCGTTTCCAAAACTGGTCTTTACCTTTGATAAATGTTGTCTGACTATGACTTTATCATTGTTTAAGCCAATGTGGAAAGTACTATCTATATTTGCTTGTGGTATGGAGAGGACCAACAAATGTTTTCCTTGTATGACTACAGGGTGTCTCAGGAAACACGATATACGGAGTGCCATCACAGTGCATGGAGAAGCTAAACAACAGTCGAACATGCTGCCCAGAGTATCCCAGATCGCAGCTCAACTTTCTGGAGTTACTTGGAGAAGGGATGTTTGGCGAGGTAGGTGTGATGTGTTCTACTCACAGGCCTGATAAAAAACAGAATTAAATCAGCTTCCCAATTATTTTTTTTCTTGATTTTTTTTTTCCTTCCTGATTTCTTTTTTTTTTTTTAACCCAATTTTTTTTTTCTTCCCAATTTTATCCTGATTTTTCCCTTATTTCCTCTATTCTTCCCTATTATTTCCCAATTTTTCTTACTCAGAAGGAGGGAATGTTGTTAGATGCCATTTTTTCCCGAATCCTCTTTTATTTTTTTAGTGCTCACTATCACCCCTGTACTCAGACCCATTAATCTTTAGTATAGATGAAAGAAATAAGTCTTTATCAGCGTTCATGGGGCAATCCAGGATCGGGGGGGGGGGGGGGGGGGGGGGGTACAGAGGGGATGCGCCCCTCCCTAGGCCAAGCCAATTCCTCACCCTCCTTTAATATCCATCCTTCATGTAGAGATTGTAATGTGGGACTGCATTTATTTCACACTTCCACTTCTTACAGAAAAAAAGCAAAGAAAGAAATTGTTGTCCCGTCTCTAATATATCCCTGATGTTTACTGTACTTGTTTCCTGCCTATTCTGTTCTTGGACTTCCATGAATTTTCACAGCTTTGGGAACCAATTTTTCAAATAGACCAGCTCAACTTGAAAATGGGGTTCGTTTTCATACATACAATTGAACAAATTATATACCAGTTACATATAGTGATTCTGAGAGCATTTCACAAAGCCTTTTTTCAATGATAAATAACACAAATCAGTGACAAATCTACTGATAATCAATCAGAAGCAAGGATTTCAGTAGCTTATAACACAAATTGTCATTTGTCACTGATGACAAGTTTTGTGAAATGCCCCCCTGATGTGCTTGTACTTAGCATTGTTGTCTTCTTCTGTCATCTGTGCAGGTTCATCTATGTGAGGCTGAGGATATTCAAGATTACATTAGGAACGGATTTCCTTTTGAAAATAAAAACAAGGGCGAACGAACGCTGGTTGCTGTGAAAATGCTTAGAAAAGATGCCTCAAAAAATGCCAGGTGAGTTGACTTTATTGAGCCACTAAGGTGACACAGGATTTCTCCAGTAGACCTGGGCCTCGTTGCAAAAAACTTACCATTGATGGTAACTTTGCCATCAATGGTAACGACCATGGAAACCTTGATTTTGATTGGCTGTTGAGCCCTGTACCATGGTAATTGCCATTGATGGCAAAGTTACCATCAATGGTAAATTTTATGCAACGTGGCCCAGTACAATCATTATTTTTGTAGATGTGAGAAGTAAGAAGGGCTTAAAGGGGTACCATTTTACACTGAAATAATGCCCTACTGGGTCCAAACACAGACTTTCTTCTCATCCTGACATACATGTGTGTTTGAACCTCCTTTAAATCTCCATACCTTCATATCATTATTGTACTATTCCTTTCCTTTGCCTTCTACCGATTTTGTTTCTTCTTCTGAATTTCTTTGTTGCCCCCCCCCCCCCCCCCCCCATCTTTCTATCACTTGTATTTCAGCTTTCCTTCTACTTTCACCACTGCCACTCGATATGCACACACTTCTGGCTGCTTTATGTTGTTACACTTACTTACTCTATCATTTCTTCAACTTATACATAATTTTAATCTAGGTACATACTTGTAATCAAACAAAGAATACCCCCTTTTAGTAATAAAAATTATGGAGAGCCATTTGTAGCCTTAAAATAAAATATATTTGATAGTGAAAATTCAAATATTTTAGCCTTTTGATAAATTCCACATCTAGACCATGAAATCTCTTTGATAATAGAAATCATGAATGGTTTGAATCAACATTTAATGCCTTTTAAAATTACTTTTACAAAATACTTTCAAAGATGCTAACAGCTTTCCATAATTGTTAAGTCCAACTTGGAGTTACGTTCAACTTAGGATCTTTGTGAAACACCCCCCAGGACTATATTTCTGTCCATCTCGGTGCATCTCTCACGAGGAGCTGTCAAGTGTGTTGTTAACCATGATGGCTGCACACGCTAGACGAATCTAAATCCTAAGGTCTACGAGGGGTCACCTCCCAGTAATTAGCCTCAACTCTCACCCATCTGTACCAATTTAGCTACCAGGCTCTCCTCTCCCAGAAGACGTGATTTCCCTCACAAAAATCCAGGAAATTGTTGTTGAATCACAACAAGTCCCTTTTTTTTAACGTTGATTGTTTTACCATGCGACATCCAGACGTTGCTTGATTTGTGTGAAAACGCTCAAATCTGGATGGGATTGTTTAGCCAGATCCCTGAGTACACAAGGCACATTGTGTATCGCCCGCCCGGCCAGCCGGCATGGGAAGATTGCTGATTTCTGGTTAATGTTTGATTGGTGGATGTTACGTGCTGGAATGATAGCATGACCTGAACATGATGACTATAACATGCGATTGAGAAGCTATGATAGAGGGATGTGGTTAGGATCCTTGTTATTGTGCTTTCATACAGCGGCGGAACTGGTTTTAGTCGACGAAATTGATAAGTAATTCCCTGATAACAAATCAAATTTGAGAGAGAGAAGACAAGAAGGATAGTTGTTTACAGAGTAAAAGTTGCATTTAAGAGGAATTAATTACACTCAAGTTTGAGTATAGTATGGGATCCTCTTAATTACACTCAAGTTTGAGTATAGTATGGGATCCTGATTGGTCGAAAATCTTATTGCGTTTTTTTCTTCCCAAAAATGATATGTTAATATAATTGTATGCTCTTGGTTGATCCATTTTCTCCTGATGGATTGAAAGGTTATGGTCAGCAGGGATGAGATTCTTCTGAACAATGTCCCTTTGAGCAAGATGGGGTAACAAGTATATCTCAAATTTAGAACTTAAATGCAAGGAAACGTGTCCTTTGACGTAAATATATTCTAAATTTTCTGCCGTCAGGACCCCCATTTAATCTTCCTCCTTCTCTGGAAATTCTCTGTATCATCCCCGGGTCAGACGAAAGTCTAAACTACATGCCATTGATCATGTACCTCGATTTCTGTCTGATGTTGTAATATGTTTCAAATAAATGTCACTCATTCTACCAATTTCCTCTTTAGGATACCAAGTTGGATCAAATTTGTCTCTGTGATCTAATTTATTAGGCAAAATTCAAGAAACGTGTTGCTAATAGCTTTGCCATATCACTCACCATTTCAGAAGTTTTGACAAACAACCCTTGTTTTCAAAATGTGGAGAAGATCCTCTTTTTTTTTTTTTGTCAGTAAGAGTTGCAGTGGTTTTGGTAGAAATAATTTTAGCTTTGAAGACGGAGGAGAATTGGAATGCATTGGTAACAAAGACACATCATAGTCGGGTTCTGAGAAGAAAAAGGAAATAATAAAAACTTAAAATACGCGAGAAGAGAAGATTTTACATTCCTTCCTCTCTTATGATGTATCATTGTTTTGTGATTTGTGTCTTATTGTCAACATATTTTGCTTGAACTGATCATAGTAGAGGTAGTAGTAGTAGTATTATATTTGATATTTTACCACCAAAAGTAACTCCTGATTTCTCAATTCTGTGTAAATTTACACATCCCCCCCCCCCCCTCCTTTCCCAAGCTTACTCGAGACATTTTTTCTGAATAACTGCACCATTGCAAATTATCTTTTATTCGGTATGGATTGGAAGTCACTCTAGGCTGCTGCCACAGTGTTTGGTTTGCTCAGTGGTAGAGCAGTGGTTTTGTAACCGGGAGGTCCAGGGTTCGAAACCGAGTTGATGCGCTGGTGCCCTCTAGTAAGGGCATGAATCCTCATTACCAAGTCCCTCAGAGAGGACCTAAAGCCGTCATTCCCCTGGGGCCCTTTTCTCCAAACAGTCATAATTCTAACTTCTGGACTACCCCATTTAAACATGTGTTAAATGTATAACACACGTTTCAATGGGATAGTCAAGAAACTAGACTTATGACGGTTTCAAGAAACAGGCCCCTGTTTGCTTACTTACAAGCATACACATGCTTTCATTGCAGTCAGGTAAAACAAACAAACAAATACAGTCAAACCTGGTTTAGTGACCACCTGTCTACAAAGACCACATTCTTTGTTTCCCTTGAAAATGTTTTCTCATTGAAACATGTACTGAAGGAACCTATACATAAAGACCACTATTATTGTCTCCTTTGGGTAGTCTTTATAGACAGGTTTCACTGTAATAGTAAATATTCACACTGTGTGACAAAAATCAACTGAGGCAATTCACCATCTGTCCCATTAGTTGACTAAGGTAGGTAAAGAGTTAATATGTCCAAATTTCACTTTTTCAGTGTAAGAGCTGTTTGATGGAGCTGTCAAAGAGGCAGCTATTCAATTCAATTCAATTTAAACGAACATTTTTTTTCTTCCATTCAATTTGACAACATATTTGACATCTGTTCAAACAATACAATTGATACGTAGGAACATAAATATAATTAAAGAACTTGTATTACAAAGAAGAAGGCGCGAATCCCGATAAGCATAGGTTGTATTGGGTACGCCCTAATACACAAATACAAAACATACATTATAAACAGAAGAAAGGAAGAAAGGGATAGGAAAGGAGGAGAAGAGGATAGAGAGCATGGAGAAAGAGAAAAGAAGAGGACTGCAACATAGTGTATGGCATGCATAAACAACATAATGTAATGGCAAGATATAGGTGAAGAGTATAATGTGGAAATATTTAACTGTATTTTTATGGGATAATACCGGACTCATCACCCCTACTTCTGTATGGGTATCGATATAACAGTAATATAGACATTCTTATTGAAAAGTAGTATTTTTTATAATTTTAGAGGATAAAGATATATTTTGAAATGTTTTAACAAGTGTTTTTAATGAGTTTAATGAGTTTATCAATGTTCATGCTAAACTAATCTTTGTTTCATTTTCCTTTCCATCCACAGGGCCGATTTCATGAAGGAGATGAAGATCATGTCACAGCTCCGCGATCCCAACATCGTCCGTCTGCTGGCGGCATGCACGGAGGACGAGCCGTACTGCATGATAGTGGAGTACATGGAGAACGGTGACCTCAATCAGTTCCTTTACGAGAGGGAAGGATTCGAGGTCGGCCTCAATAACTGCAATGCTAATCTATCCAATTGTAATAAAAGTTCAATTAGGTGAGTCAAAGATGTTTGTTTTGCCCATTTGTGGGGGTGCCAATCAAAGGCAAATTAATTAATTAAAAACTTAGCAATTAAAAAAAATATATGTTTAAGAAAAACACCAAATCATTGAGAAATCAAAAATCATTGTTTTTCAATGAAAATGTGCCATTTTTCAAATTTTTGACATTCCTACCCATGTATATTGTTTTTTGAGACATTGCATTTGATTTCAATGATCTACAAATACAAGAAAAATGTCAATGTTGCGAATTTGAAGGACAAAATATGATCTATTCAGTCCTAAAAATAAATCCTCTCCTGAAAGGGTTCAATACAAATGTTGGTCAAACAGTTTTTGAGCGTCAAGTAACGCGTGGCAGGAATACTCCCCAGGGAGTGGAGTGTGTGCGAGCTAGCACTGAATCCAATGGACGTGGTAATAGTATATCTGTAAAGCGCTAAGAGACATTAAGCATTATATAAAAGCTGAATATTATTATTACATCGTATCTTATTATTTATTTTTTTCTTCCAATGTTTACAGTGTTGGTGCCCTTGTCTACATGATCACCCAGATAGCATCCGGTATGAAATACCTCTCAAATATGAACTTTGTCCATCGAGATCTTGCCACCCGAAACTGCCTCGTCGGGAAATCTTACACGATACGCATCGCCGACTTCGGCATGAGTCGGAATCTCTATTCGTCCAATTACTACAGGATAGAAGGGAGAGCCGTGCTGCCCATCAGGTGGATGGCATGGGAAAGTATATTACTGGTAAGTTGGGCTACATCGTTGACCTTGAGGCCTTGAAATGATGGAAAATAAAATGTCAGAGATCCAAACCAACTTACAATGATTGTTCAATACTAAAAATGTTTAATAATATAGATATGAGCAAAAAAAAGAATTTGAAAATGGAGTGAGTCATCCCATCTCTATGTTGAGCAAAGGTCCTATTTTGTACTCAATATTCTTGTGTTATAAGATATAGAAAAGTAAAGTCTATTATGCGTACGTAATTAATTAGAACACCTGTTGTGATTTACTGCATTATTAACAAGCCATCGGTCTTATTCATCAAGTCCTAATCTTTCGTAATTTTATTTTTCATTCACTCCTACTAGGGCAAGTTCACATCCAAAACAGACGTATGGGCTTTTGGTGTGACGCTGTGGGAGGTGATGATGCTATGTCGAGAGCAACCTTACTCAAGGCTCACCGACGAGCAGGTCATCGAGAACACCGGTCAGTTCTTCGAGAAGGACGGCACGCCCGTGTACCTGGCCAAGCCGCCACAATGCCCTAAAGACATTCACAACCTCATGAAACGGTGCTGGACCAGCGAACCCGGCCAGCGACCTACGTTTGACTTTCTCCACACGTTCCTCCAGGCGCGGAATATCGGTTACGAGCCACCGGTGTCGTTGTAGGGACTCTCCCTCCGATAGCCACTCGTTATTTTGCCAACGATGATGTCATCTTGGACAAGTGCATTCTTTGGTCATGGATGTTCTTTGTGACAATGTGTTAAATGTTTTGGAGAAAAGAAGGAGAACAGAAAACTATAAGTACTATATTCAGAAGACAAATAGACAGGACTAGAACTTCTGATGAATCTTTATCTCTCTCTCTCTCACAATCATTGGGAGTTATATTGATTATGTAATCAGGAAATACGTGTTTATTGTAAGAGGAAAAATGCTAACTTTAAGAAATGATGATGATGATCAACTGTACCCACCAGGGCCCCGTTTCATAAAACTACTATCACAGTAGAATATATTAAAGCAATTGTCTACATCAGAATTTCTGTGCTTTTGACAAGCAGTTTCTATTGAGTATTCCTTATGCTCTTTGACGAGAGATAAGTCCTATTCGAGATGATGCTTTTTCTAGAACTTGTTTATGACCTAATTCATTCTAGTGAATATCAGACTAGATATTGTAAAATTTGATAATACTTTATTATTGAATCATTTCTTGCTGTCCTATACTATCAAACACAGTTTTACAGCATTTTGAAACACCATGACAATTCCAGAATGAAATTCCTCATGACATTCTATGGTGCTTGCATCATTGAAAAGACAATTCTTTTCTTTTTAATGTACGTTATCTAGATAACCAACCCCACCAGACTAAGATATCTATCTGTTTATCGAACGATTAAAATTTCAGATGGCATGTTAGGTCCAGTACTTTTTACTACGATACAGATTCATGAAAGTTGACCATTCAATAAATATTATATATTTTTGACAACCTTCTCTCACTCATTCGCCCCCCTTTCACTAACTCTAAAAACAAATGATTGTTTCACAGAAGGCATGTTTTGTTTGTCAGATATTTGTTTCCATACCAGTACATGCCCCCCCCCCCCTTCCGAAATGATAATGGATACACCATTGATCTCTATCTGTTCTCAATCAGCAATGCTTTCATTATCTATATTCCTTGCAAAAAACATTTGAAAAACTAGTGGAATTTCATATCAAGTCACGACAATTGAATTTTATTGGAACATGTTTTCATGAAGAATTTTTTTTTTTAAATAGATGAATTTCAAGGTCTATATTGATGTTCCAAACAGCATCTTTGTGGGATTGGCAAGCAGTGTTTGAATGTTGTCTAAAGGTACTATTTAAACATTTTGACATTGTTATGAAAGTTGATTATTAATGGCTTTACCAGAAATTAAAAATACCATCCCTGAAAGTTAAAAACATGGAGATATGGGTGGGGGGGGGGGGGGGGGAGTTGTATTGGTTTTATTAAAAATGAATCAAATCCTTTTGAACCAAGTTATGAATTATTAAATCAATTTAGATTTCATCATAACTGACCTGATTTCAAACCATGGTAGCTATTGATTTTGCTTCCAATCTACTTTTGGAATTATTTTTCTCCACATGTACGTTTCAAAAGTTAAATGGTTCCTTTAATTGCTTATTTTATCTACCAGTACACGTGAAGTATGGGGGCAGTTCTTAAAATTGGAAAGGAAAGGTTCAAATGAGTTGTGATGTATAAATGGTCTTATGAATGCTTTTTTGTGCCTACAAGATATTTTCCAAGATTAATTTTCTTTTTTTTATGGAGGCTGTATATATTCTTGCAAGTTTGTATCGAATACGGTGTAACATACAATAGCACAAATAAAGAAAAAAAAACATCATGGATTTAGCTTTTTTATACTGCCTTTGTTGTGTATATTGAAAGAGATGAAAATAATAATGTAAAACCAGATTTAAAGATAATGGAATGTGAATATTGGTCATATTTTGGACAAAAAAGTTCTGTAGGTAATGCTTGTAAGTATGTATGGTGTATTTAATCTGAAAACAAATTGATATAAAGAAGTACTCATTTAGTGTATGTTTGTTTGGTTTATTAATGAAATAAACAAATTGTTGCTTGCATTCCATGTGTGCTGTTTATTAAATTGATGAATATACATGATTTAAATGTATATTTCACTCTTTTTCCTTTTCTTTTATGATTTATCCCAGCACTGTGCAACTCAAGATATTGCTAGTAAATGCACGATACTGTATATCATTGTGTATTTTTGATGTTGATATTTGTTATTGATGCGATTATGCACATAAATAATGGTTTCATTTGTAATGTAGAATAGAACGCTTTCCCAAAGTTGCACTTCGTTGTTTTGAATTTTTGATGAAATTATTTTACGGATCGGCTGAACTGGCACCACAAATACTTCTTAAATTCTTTAAGATATAAGAATTTGAATTTTTGATCAAAACAATCTATTCCATTTTTGAAAGGGAATTTCGCTTCATATCAAACATAAAGTATATTTTATGAATAATTGTGAACAGGTCTGAAAAAAATATTGTTATTAACTACTTGATAATGTCCTTTTCCATTTTGTTTGAAACAAAACATGTGAGGGGCAGAATTGCTACTTGTATTTTGCCCTTTCGACTCCCTTCTTCTGAAGACTATCACATATTGCTTATTAATACAGTCAAACCTGCTTTAGTGACCACCTGTCTACAAAGGCCACATTTGTTTTTTCCCTTGAAAATGGTTTCTCATTGAATCATGTACTAAAGGAACCTGTCTTCAAAGACCACTTGTCTACAAAGGCCGCTTTTTGTGTTTCCCTTGGGTGGTCGCTATAGACAGGTTTGACTGTACATGTACTTTTGAAAAAAGTACAGAATTAGACTTGACTTGGCAATACGGTGGATTCACAGTCCAGAGCCCCATCTGGTGACATCAGTGTTTGGTCTATTTCATGTGATTCATTGTGGGAAAAATTTAAGAAAAATGTCAGCTGGGGCGTTGTTATATACCCTTGGAGATGAGGGGATTTAATCAGAAATTTTTGGTGGGGAAGGTTTTAAAATGAATGGCTTATCAGGGGGGAAAAAATTGCACCGATTCCAAAAGCATCAGTCAACTCACTTCGTTTCGGTCATTTTGGCCACTTTTTGGCCCGAACTAATCATTAAGGTCACTTTTGGTCAGGGATAAATTTTTCTAATTGTCATTATCATCATAGGAGATTTGATAGGGCTCTTTTATGTTAAATTATGTCCCGGTGCTAAAAAAAAGTGGTCAGATCGAATCCCATCTGCAATTATTAAAATGGTAATTTCTGTTATCTTTTTACCCCAAAACAACCATTTGTATCATTTTTTATCCAAAATCAGGCCAAATTTTCAGTCAGAATTAACTGATTGGGGGAGGGGGGGGGGGGGGGTTGACATCGAAATTCAATATAAAAATGTGCACTGACGGATATTGGAACAATGAATCTCATTGAATGAAAGTTACACAGTTCGGACCGCTTTGGTCAATTCGATCGGTGGCTAGCATTTTGCTGCGCTGCACTGGTCGAAAAATGTCGACCACAAGCTGAAAAATTGACCAGTTGTGAGTCCACCATATTGAATGTTCAAGTGCATAATTCCTTATTATTGTTTCATCTATTGTGTGTATTCAAGCCAGCATTTAAAGCATCAATTTGAATGAAAATGTATGAAAATTATATTTGTTTATTGTTGACGACTGACCTTGTACTATGTGTATTATACATATGCCAAAGTAATGATTTCTATGTATCCGCCTACTGTATATAATTCAGCATTGTTTTAATTGCGCCGTGCTACTTGAAAAAGATTGAAATCTCTCTCTATATATATCTGTGCTCTTTGTGAAGGTTGGATAGTGACAGTTATGACGAAAAAAGCCCTTCACAGTGTTTTGGGCAAAAAGTTGATTTTTTTTTAGACTGAACTTTCTTTCAATAATTATTAAACAGCCCAGAACCCTTTACTGATCCTTGTATTGTAAAGTGAATAAAAAATGGCATGGGTAGATAACTACACATGACAGTTACAATATGTGTCAGTTAAAATGACACTATGCATTTTCAGGAGGTAAAAGTCTGCTAATCAAGACTAGTAATGTTTACAATGAAAATAGCAAATAACCAATTCAAACAAATGATAACACTTATCACTTTTTTATATATTGTACTATTGTAATTTTGATTGCTGACACTTGATTCTCAACTTAACTATCAGTCTTACTATTGACTTTAAGACCCTTTTTTTGCAATAAAGGAAGCTATCAAAGCTTGAAATATTATTTTGATGTTCATCCTCAGCCTGCATATTTTGTCATTTTCAAAGGGGTTTTGATATGAATGTATCTGCTTTATAGCTAAAGTGTGGGTGATGTGTGTTTGGTAACATATTATGGGTATGCTTGGGATGAAGATAGACAATGAAAGATTGGGAGAGAGATCTTGTAAAGTGAAGGCGACTATTAAAAGGAGAGAGAGAGAGAGAGAGAGAGAGAGAGAGAGAGAGAGAGATAGAGAAGAGAGAGAGAGAAAAGAGGGAGAGAGAGAGAGAGTGAAAGATGGGAGGGACATGTAGGATGAAGGTGACTAAATGAGAGAGAGAGAGAGAGCGAGTGTGTGTGAAAAGAGAGAGTGACAGATGGGGGCTATGTAGAATGAATGCGCCTAAATGAGAGAAAGAGAGAGAGGGAGGGGGTCATGTAGAATGAAGGTGACTAAAGGAGAGAGAGAGATAGAGAGAGAGTGAAAGAGAGAAAAAGAGAGAGAGAGGAGGGGGAGAGAGAGAGACAGATGGGGGGGGGGGTCATATCAAATGAAGGCGACTAAAGGAGAAGGAGAGAGAGAGAGAGACAGACGGAGAGTGAAAAGAGAGAGAGAGAAAAGAGAGGGAGAGAGAGAGAAGAGAGAGAGAGAGTAAAAAGAAAGAGAGAAAAGAGAGAGAGAGTGACAGGAGAGATAGACGTGAACGGTCTCACGCTTAACGACGTTGTAAATATTCTTGTTTGTTCATCGTCTCTAAGATGCTCTTTGAATCAAAAACAGCTTTTATTGTTAGGCTTCCTGAAAGAAATTTCAATTGTGGTTAAGAATTTTTTGGTTGCACTCTGTAGATTATGATGATGTGTTTGAACTTGTTTTCAATACAAGATCAAACACATGATGAAAATCGACTGGGTGCATGTCAATAAGTTCTTTACAACAATAGACGTGCACATGGCAATCACATGGTAGCTACAATTATGATCATCAGTACTGGGTCTAATAAAATGAATTTGAACCCAGCCCATAGGCTACCCCCTCTCGTTCTCTCTCTCTCTCTCTCTCTCTCTCTCTCTCTCTCCTCTCTCTTCTTCTTCATCGCCTACTTTTCCCTCTCTTACCTCCCTGTGTATTTGTATGCCTCGATAATACAGAAAATAAACAATAAGATTCTTCCTCTTAACCTCCTTCTTCCTAGTAGGAGAAGTATTAACAGCAGTATCACAATAATAATGATAAAAATTATCATTATAACTATTATTATTGTTGGTGGTGTTACTAATGTTATTTTTGTAATTATTATCATTACTTTTATAAAAAATAAAAAAAATATTATTATCGTTAATATTATTATTATTGTCATTATTATCATCATTATGATGAATATGAACATGAAGATTATGGTGACAATTAATATAAGTAGTATTATTATAATTATTATCATATCATTATCATCTGTATTATCAGCATATAATCTACAATGGCAGTAGTGTAGTGTAGTATAGTGGGCCGGGGGGCATGTAGAATGAAGGCAACTAAAGGACTAAAGGAGAGACAGAAAGAAAGAGAGAGAGAGAGAGAGAGAGAGAGAGAGAGAGAGGGAGTGAAAGAAGGTGAAGAGATGGAGAAGGGAAATGACGACAAAGAGGCACAGGAAGAAAGGATGAGAGAGTGGGGAGGAGGCAAGTACCGGTAGACAAAATGTGACATGTAGAGATAAGCCTCCCCCTTAAAAAAATGAAAATAAATAACATCCTAGAGGGGTAGTTGTGGGAGAGAAAATAGACTCAGAAAGACAGTTAGAGAGAGAGGGGGCGGGCGGAGAATATTTGAATTACCAAATGAAAGTGTGATAGAATAACAGAACGATTTTAAAAGTATATGGAAGGTCGAGACCTTTGACAAATTAAATGTGATTGTGGTTGTATGATGTAGAGGGATAGAACATCCCGGAATCTAAATGGAGAAGCAAGAAATATAACAAGATGAAGACATTTGCAGTTCTATAATGTTCCTCTACCTGTGTTCAATTATTTGATGATCCCTGTGACCTTTGATATCTGACCCCATGAACCCAACAACTCTTCATGTTGATACACATACTTTAGCAAAATTGGTTTGAACAAAGAGTAAGTTGATCAAACTCTTAGACAGATTTCTATTCAGACAACTCCCTGCTATATACTAATAGCCTTTAATTTTACTGTATCATTCAGGTTTTGTTGGTGGCATGTGAATAAAGTGATAGTTAGGATAAGAAATTGGATTTGTGAGCCATATGGCATAGCCAGGATTATTTCAGTGCATGGGAGGGGGCGATCATATATAAAGCCAGTGTAGAGAGACAGGGCATGCACATGAAAATCTAAAGATGGGATGTATCGTAAGCATGGCCGGTCAAACAACGACATTCTATACAATTATTATTGTTTGATACCATGGTTACCATGGTGGATGGTAATTTGAACCAAAGAAAATAAGGTTACCATGGTTTTTTTTTATATATATGTCAAAGTATCTGTTTATTAAAAATTTAAAAAACAGTGGAGAGAGAGAGAGGGGGGCATGTGCCCCTATATAGGTTCTCTATAGCTATATGTCACCCCACCCCTCCCCTCTCCCTCGATTTGAGCACTAGTCAAGGGCAGATTACTATCTCTTTTAGTTATATGGCCATCGATCCCTTCATATATTGAAGGAAACTTTAACATGATTTCCTCATAAAAGATTGTAATTAATACATAAATGATTTTTGCATCAAGATAAAAAATATGAATAAAAGTCTATTTGGCAATTATTCTTGAAATGTTATTCTGATTTGTTTTCACTGATCAGGGAAGTATAGTTTTCACATTCTTCTGTACAAGGTCTTTTCAAAATAGACAGAACTCAGCTAGAAGACTATCTTTTTCCTTCCTTTCTGAATATACCAGTGCTTATAATCTGTTGAGTAACATGTGGAATCTCTGGAGAATAAGCAATTATTCATTATTCATACCTCACCTAAAAAAAGACATGAATGTGCCATTGACAAAATCATCAGATCGCTTGTCGCATGGGAAGAATCCTTTATTTACATCATAACATTATCAAGCACAATGATGAAACACTGCACACTGCATGACTGCGTGCGCTGGACAGGTACTGATTGGAAAGCTCTCAGGGAATCCCCCCTTGAGTCAACAACAACAACAACAACAACAACATGTGAATATAGAGGGTCGTGTCGAGTGACCATGTTGAAGACAATGACGATGTGGGACCATTCATTAATTCTTTTGTCGTTGAAGACAGTATAGATCCGGGTATAGATCACCAACTTACTGTAGAACGAGAAGCTACAGTACAGGTCAGTACAATGAATTTAATCTATATTGCTTTCTAAACCAAAGTATATTGCCCCACTAGTAGCCAGGTAGCATGACTTCGCTTCTTGCTCCGGGCTGCGGTCGGCTTATCCCAATGCAGTGCAACGGGCCGTGGCGGATCGGTTAAGCAGTTTCCCTAGAATAGCTGCAGTCGCGCTTCACAGAGCATGGAGTGAACAGGTGAATGAGTGGTTTCCTATTTTTCATTTTTAAACTGCACTTGCTCATTTGCTGTCTTTTTCTAAATTGAATGGAGTACTAGTAGACGCCATTGTTACTGGCTACTGCCTAGTGTGCATGTGCAGCATGCATGTTGACCACTACACCAGGGTTTCCATTTAACGTCCTATCCAAAGGATGGAGTATTTTCCACTTAACTGTACATAGTCTGCATCTATGAAACAATGGGAGGGGCACGTTAATGCACAGCGCAGTTTCTGTCATTCGCCTGGGTGGGATTTGAACCCAAGATCTTTGGTTCGACAGACAGACGCTTTACCGACTGAGCCAACGTACTCTCCTCCCTGAACACATCATTTCATGTCAAGGAGTTTTTCACACCTCCTGAAATTCATGTAAAATACATGTTAAGTACATCATATTCATACAAAGTCTTGCATCATTGCATGACTAGTTTTTTTTATCAACTCCTAGATCCTGAATGGAAAGGGAGGGGGGGGGGGGGGGGGGGTAAGTGAGTTTCAGATTTGTGTAATACTTAATTTGACCCCCTAATAAATCATTAAAATTTATGATAATACTGTATGGCTATCTATCGTCTAGCATGCCTTAATTAATCTGGCATTGTGTGAATCAGGAAGTGACATTGCAATCGCCTAATTTTCATGGAAGCGCCCATCTTTTTACTTTTTAAATGTCTGATTGTGGGACACATTTCACCTTTCACTTAATTTCTTTTATGATGAGCTTTCATTGACATGCAATGTTTATTTTAATCAAGTTTTGTGCCAAGATTCAATTTTGAATGTCTGATTGTTGTCACATTTCACCTACCAGTATGTTCACTTTCTTTAGATATTGAGCTTTCATTTGACGTCATGCATTGTTTATTTTAATCAATATTCAGGGCTGCCAACCTTTAGAAAAAGTTTGGAGTGAGACATTGCGAGGGAGCGAAGCGACCAAGCCCGAGGGCGCAAAGCGCCCGAGGGGGGATGGTGTGGAAGGGGGTGTCCCCCCCTTCCACGGTAGGGAGCTTTTACAATTTTGCAATTGAAATGGTGCAATCTGGTGCATACTTTAACCCTGATTCCACAAATACATAAGGCAGGATTCAAATAGGTTAGTTGATTTCATGAAGTACACTGACCTTGAAAAAATACAAACTTCCACTTTTGTAAGTGCATTATTCCAAATCAACTGTCTTTATAAGCTTAGCAGTTGAACCTCAACCTATGATTATCTGTAACAAAATGGACAAATCCTCACTCAACAGGAACATGCATACTAAAAATAATAAATAGATATATACATGTAATATATAAAAAAAAGAATATAAAAATTAATAAATAGATATATAATGAATATATAAAAAAATACTAAAAATAAATAAATCAATACTGCACAATTTTCATTCTTCAAAATAAGTATACCTCTCATCCAGTTAATCTTGAGATAATTTGCACTTCAGGATGACCTTACTCTCTGCTGGTAGCTCAAACTTGAAGCAAGGCTGGGCTGCTGCTTCCCAAGATGATACTAGAACAAATGATCATTATGATGTCTGTCCATACTGGGTGTCATTCATTCCTCAAAATAAGTATAATACTCATCCAGTTAATCTTGAGATAATTTGCACTTCAGGATGACCTTACTCTCTGGTCACAGACACAGTCACACTCTCAACACACTCTTTTTGGAAAATAATTAAATCAAAATTTCGTTCTCAATAGAATATACAGAACATAGTTAATACAACTGCAATTATATACAAGCACCCTTCCAAAATCATTCTTATGCGCTTTATAAGAACTGTACTATTATTATTATTATTACTCTCGTATAAACGATCGAAACCATGAATTTCAATATTTCAAGACAAGAGTTTAAACTCACCTGTACCGGCTGAAGCCTGATCGAAGTACTGTACCATAACTATGGCCGATCTGGTCGTAGAGGGCTAAAGAGGACGGCCCAGGCCCATTATCCGCTCGCAAACACTGAGCCACCCGGGCCGGTCTGGGCTGGGGGCCGGGCGCGATGTACAGCGATGACAGGCCATGGCATTGACACTCGCTTGTCGTGTCTCGCACAAAAACCCCGCTTCATAGTAAAGTGACGACGTCACTCGCACACGCAGGATAAGCCAATCGCAATTCACTATCTTGTCTTTGCGCGGCAAACCGAAACCAATTTACATTGATGGTTTAGCTTTGCGCATGTGTGGTTAAAAAAATGTCGGCAGGGATATTGAATATCCGATATAATAGACTTTTTTATTTTTAGTTTCTATTTTCGGGGTTCAGCGTGAGAATTCCTATGATCAGCGTGAGAGCGTGAGAATTGGGTGAATTGCGTGAGACTCACGCAGATTGCGTAAGAGTTGGCAGCCCTGCAAAATCGATTGTGTTGCTTTAAAAAAATTAAATTAAAAAAAAAAAAAAATTATCTTGTATAATCAGCTATATTCTTGTTGTTGATTCTATTGGTTATATTATGTATGTATATTCATATATGTTTTGTTATGTTTTGTAAAGTCGAAAGCAATATTGAATTAAGATGATTTTATTAAAGAAAAAAAAAAATATTGATTTTAACAATTTCTCAGCCGTATAACACATTGTGTTTGTTTGCTTTCTAAGAGGTTATGATTGTAAACATACTTTATTAATCTTCAAATCATCAAATTATTATCTTGTGACCAATCTTACTTCATTTTGTAAATATTTAAAGCCCCACTGTACTTCTAAAACTTGTAGCTACTTGTACAGTATGTAGTAAACAATGCCTAAGCGGTGACCATTGGTCCCCCATGATCCTTTTTTTCTTATGTTAATTGAGAGCTGAGTTGGTGAGATAGCCACTTGTCAGTGAGCAGTGAGCCCGCTGGGTGGTGTAGTCCCTCCAGTCGAAACTAGTACAGGTGGGCTTTAAACTCTAATTTTTTAATACTTTTTTCATCATTTCTAGATCATCATGATGTAACCCTTCAAAGCTCTTGAAAATGGGTCGATGATCATGGATCCGGACAAGGAGAGATCTCTGGACTATGCCAGGACTCAACAAACCTACTTTGATCTTTATCAGGGAAAGTTGGACAAAGTTTCTCAAGATGTGAAAAGTAGAGAGACGAGGCCACAACTTTTTCTTATTTCTGGACTGCCAGGCATCGGTAAGGCCTCATTTGCTGTCGAGTTAGCAAAGAGACTTCAAAGAAATGATTCCACAACCACCATCACGATTCACACTCCCAAAGGGGCTTCTCACCAAGATATTGTTCAAGATATCGCAAGCAAGTTTTTAGAGATAAGGAATTTGGATTTCACGGTGTCTTACTGCTTGCAAGAAGAATTCCTGGACAAGCTTGAACACAAAACATCAGAGACAGTGATAATCATTTTTGGTATCACCAATGCTGCAGAGGATGAGTTACCAAAGATTCTAAGTGAGGCGGAAAGTCTGGTGAGATTTCCCAATGTCACTGTTTTAATGACCAGTGGAGAGGATTGTGGATTTGCAAGACTTGGTCCCAAGTTCTTCCTGTATGTCTTGCAGCCACCCAGTGAAGCAGAAGCAAGGAGATACCTGGAATCCTTTGCACCACACTTGCCCATTGAGAATTATCTAGAATGCCTTGTACCTGTGCTGCCCTTCAGAATAAGCGACATTCTGAAGAAGTGTGGACAACTTCCTAAATTAGTGGCCCAAGTTGGTGACATGCTCAAGGACAATGTTCCAATTTCTACCATTTGGGATTCAGTGAAGGAGAACCCTCTATCAATCCTGCCAAAAGCTGAAGCTGAAGCGGGAGCTGGAAGATTTGGAGATGTTGTGGTTCGAAAGGTGAGGACTGATGCTGACAGGAAGGCCTTGAAGGCTCTGGCTGTAGTGGATGGCCATTTTGATGAGAAGGCATTCTGTGCAATAACTGGGAAGGATGCATCGCAATGTGGTCTCGCAGTCCGCAGCATTCGTCCTTTCCTCTCAAGCCACCTCTTTGCAACAGCCGATACTGGAAGTGGAAGGTTGTTCTGCATGAACGAGCTGATGAAGTTTACGTTGAATCAGAAATGGGGATGCCTTGATGGATTGGTGCAGAGTCGCAATCGCTTCTGCTTGTTCTACGCACAACTCTTACAGCGGATGACACCGCTCATGCACAGCTATCAACCTGACAACCTCCCATTGTACCAGGCAGATTTTATCAATCTGCAGAAACTGCTTGAAATGGCAACATTTGCCACCTCTGAAGACTTTATGTACGAGTTGATCATGGACATCGCCCACAACTCGCAGGAGATCATCTACGACTTTCTTCAGAAGAAAGAAGTGATACCGTTCTACGAGAGCTGCGTCAGAGCAGCTCGACAGAGGAGTGACGAACGTCGGCTAGCTTACGTGCTCATTGCTTTGTCACATGCTGTTGTGATGCTTCACAATGACTTTGATCATGTAGAGGGATACCTTTCAGAGGCACAGGAAATCTTAGAGAGGATTGGTGAGATGGATACCCTTGACACGGTCAGACTTCATTTGGAAAAGGGATGGTACAATTATAAATGTGCCAAGCATCGGGAGGCATTGAGGTAGGTGTAAAAGTATGAAGCTACATCTTTTGATATTGCACAGCGTTTATAGAAGAGATTAATTATAATAAACTGTGCTGTAGATATTCTTTTATTTGCATTCAGTATGTCCCATGAATCTCATTGTTTTTCAGTTTCCCAGTTTCACTTGCTCAACTTTGCAAATTTCATTAGGCCATTATAAATAAATGTGTAGATGTGTTTTCTTTAATCAATCTGGACAAGATAGGGACAAGAAATGTGTTATCAAATTTGAAAACTTTTGTAATTTAGTTTCAATTCAATTGAATCATATATATTGAATATTAAATCATACTTGTCTTAATGGGCTAATCAGGGATTCAAAACTGAAACATGTAAACCAACAACCCGGATGTCATGAAGACTTGTCTGTTTCCTTCCTGATTTATTTCATTATTCAAATGAGAAAGTAAGTTACTTGTTAAAGGCCCACTGCACTACTTGTAGCTACTTGCGCCCTCTCTATACCGGTATTTAAAAATGCCGAATCGGTGACCATTGGTCCCCCATGATCCTCTTTTTCTTATGTTAACTGAGAGCTGGGTTGATGAGATAACCACCTGTCCAGTGACCTTGCAGAGCGGTCTAATCCCTCCTGTAAACTAGTACTGATAAGCTTTAAGATGTACCTAATTGTGCTTGGTACCCTTGATTGCACGTTTGGTAGGATTTTCACATGTTTTTTTGCAGAATAGTTTACTAATTGGAAATCATTTTCCTTGAAAACTTGAAATCATTGATTGATTATGTACTTTGAATGCTACGGTGAAATGATAGCCAGCATTTTTTATTTGCAATATATTGTTCTTCTTTATGAATACTAAGTAAAAAGCATCCTGTTGATTAAAACAATCAATCTTTGGCTTGCTTTTCCTTGTATATGCACAGGTAAATACATTGATTTGCTATTACTAAAATATAGTTCATTAGGATATTGATTGATTATTTGATTTGAATTATTCCAGCTCTTACGAAGAAGCAAGAAGGATTCTGCTTCACATCATTACTGGCGAGGCGGAGAACGAGAGCCTTCCGGACCCCAAGTTCCTCTTGGAAAAAGCGAAGATGATGGATAAAGGAAGCCTCCACCTGTGGGTATTGTCCTCTGTCAACACCAACATTGCCACCATCTATACGTGTATGTGTAAGTGAGCAGTATTGCTGGAGACTTGGGGGGGGGGGGGAGTGCTTCACAAAGATCCTAAGTTGAACTTATCTCTAAGTTGGACTTAACTATTATAGAAAGCCATTAGCATCTATGGAAATATTTTGTAAAAGTAATTTTTTAAAGGCATAAAATGTTGATTCAAATAATTCATATTTTCTATTTTCAAGGAGATTTCATGTTCTTGATGTGGAATTTATAAAAAGTCTAAAATACTTCAATTTTCGCTTTTGAATACATTTTATTTTAAGGCTACAAATGGCTCTCCTTAATTTTCAAGTCCAACTTAGAGTTAATTTCATCTTATGATGTTTGTGAAATGCCCCCTGGAGCTAGTGCCCATGTCTGCGGAGTGCACCCACATAGGCATATACATGTGGGTGTTATTGGGCGATTCCGATAAAACATGCAAACCAAAACAAAATATCAATCTCTATTGATACAGCGCGCGCGCCACACATTCAATCAAAATACAAGTAAAGATTGTGAGAAATGTCTCATCCTCCTCCTCCTCCTCCTCCTCCTCCTCCTCCTCCTCCTCCTCCTCCTCCTCCTCCTTCTCCTCCTCCTCTCATCATCGCTATCATCATCATGTTGATCAAACATTTTTTATGATTGTCTTATTCTAGGTAACTTTGAGGCTGCTATCAGCCACTTCAAGCAGAACCTTCAGCTTCAGAACACATTGTGGACTGAGCGACATCCACACTCGGCATTGACCAATCACAAGCTAGGGCTCACATACCTGCTGAGTAAAGACTTTGCTAATGCTCTGAAGTAAGTGATAGTACCCCCCCCCCCCCCTAAATACTAACCCCACCCTGACAACTTGATTCCAGACAACAATCCCTTTTGGATAATCACCTTTTGGATACACCCCATGGATACACCCCATAGCCCCATTAGACAAAAGAAAATACCCCCCCCCCCCTAACCACCACCAAGTGGTACAACCCCTTGTCAATACTCTCCCTTTTGTGTGAGTAGTCCTTTGAAGCGGGAGGGAGAGATTAATTTAGTTCTTAGTTTTAAACATGCTCTGAAAAACGGTAACCAAATAATTTTCTGTCATATGAAACAAACTAATATGTACGTGAACCAATTAAAAAACTCTTACAGAGATAACACTATAAAGGTAAATGATTTTGGTCATTTATCCATTGTATCCTCATGTTCCATTCAGTTCTGCATTGAAAAAATGGTTAAAAAGTGGACATTTTTTAATTTATGTAAAAGAGAAGGAAATATAGCGATCTTGTTTTGATGGATTTCTCCATTCCATATTTTTTTTGGGGGATAGGTACGGTACTAAGGGACCCAGCCTGAGGATGTTTCTATGATTTTGGTCATTTACATGTATCTATTGTATCCTCATGTTCCATTCAGTTCTGCATTGAAAAAAATTGTTAAATAGTGGACATTTTTTAATTGATGTAAAAGAGAAGGAAATATAACGATCTTGCTTTGATGGATCTCTCCATTCTTTATTTTGGGGGGGGGTTAGGTACGGCAACAAGGGACTCAGCCTGAGGATGTTCCTGACAAAAGGTGCCTCACACACTACCATACAGTCTCTGAGCATGGTTGCCATGGCAATACTAGATCACAACGGTGATTGGCAGCGTAGCTTGAGATTACTCCAGGAAGCCGTGGAGATGAGGGAGGAGCTTGGACCAACACACCCGGACATGGCTCTGCTCCACCACAGCATGGGTAACGTCTATCGCTTCTGCAGTAACCACAGGGAGGCCCAGAGGCACTACCAAAAGGCTGTTGACATGCGTCTGGCGGCTTACGGCATCGGACCAAACTTCTGCACGGTGGAATCGCTGGATGCCTTGGCTGATACGTGCTTTGAAGTGGGTGAGGCGGAGGAGGCTCTGGAAGTACACCAGAAGTGCTTGAAGATGTGCTTGCAGCATCTGTCGGAGGATGCAGAAGGGCACCTAGATGAAGGCGCACGTGGGATAGATTTGGTGAGGACAACCTGTAAGAAAGTCAGTCTCATCTATGAAGCAAGGCATGATGTGAACCAAGCTGAAATCTGGAAGAATGCATCTGAATCTGAAAGGCCTCTCTTGGTGATTCCGCAGGAATATTTCCCACCTTGAATGTGACTGTTTATTTCTTAAAGAGAAGGTTGAGTTCTGGGAAGAGGTAAAAAATAATGTGTGAGTGTTATCATTGTTTATGCAAGTGTGGAAGAACATCAGATAACAAATGTTCCCTGAAAAGCATGGCTCTTCAAATGCCTTAATATTCTAAATATGGCATGTAACATCATAAAAATCGGGACAGAATGTTTCACTGCTTGTTTGTGTAGTCTCATATAAATCTTCTGTGTACAGTGCTTGTAACTTTACCAAGACTGGGCCAATTTTGTTATCATTTTGATGATTCCAGAACCTTGCAATACACATACCTTCTTATATGCTAGATGATCAATCTTTTCTGATCGATTCCACAACGTTTCTTTCACAATGCAATCAGAACCAGAACTCAACCTTCTCTTTAAATGTGTTAAACATGTTATTTATTTTGTTTACCCTCTCTCGGGACATACCGGTATTCTGTGCACCTCTCTACCTTTACAAAGCTATTCATGTTTTCTTCACATTTCTAATGCATTGTATTTGTGTGTTTATCTTGCATTATGCATTAAGCATGCAAAGGTCATGGATTCAAGCCCTGGAGGGGCACTAGTGTCCTTTAGCAAGACATTAATCTACATTTGCCACTCTCCACCCAGGTGTTAGATGGGTACCTGAAGGAAAGACTTCCTTGAATGCTGTGAGCACCAAATCTGTAGCGTAGCTACAATCAGGGTAAATAATGGAATGCCTTGAGCACCTTGAAGCTGTAAAAATATGCAATACCATTAATTATTATTTCTACATGTATTTGTTATTCTTCCATTCCTCTCTTATCTTAACACATATCTAGCGTCTAGTTAAGTATATCATCCTCGACAGTTCACTGTGTTATTCTATTGTATCCTTCATGCTACTCACTAGTTCATAACCCGTCAATTCTTTTCTTCCATGATCATGTCATTGATACTTCCTTGCTGAAGAGCAGTATGAACGTGCTTCTGCTTTATATATCCTGTACTTACAGCTATAAAGTGAAGTTCATTTCCTTGCTGTAAATTCAGGGCCCTCTTAAAAGCAACTCTGAAAATCAAATGCATGTCCTAAAAATCAAACGCATGTCCTAAATATCAAACGCAACTTTACGTTTGATTGCATTTTCATTGCATTTTCAATTGCATTTGATTTCAAACGCAACTTTTCCAGATCAAACGCAACTTTATGATGATATATGAATATGACCAAAACGCAAAGTTGCTCTTGATTTCAATCACAACTCTCTGAGTGCAATGCCAGTTGCATATGATATTTGCGTTTGATCCGAGTTGCGTTCAATCGCAGCTTGACTTTTATGCAAGAGGGCCCTGGGTATATTAAAGATAAACTTGAGTTCTGGTCATGCGATTGCATTGTGAAAGAAAAGGTGTGGAATGGATCAGAAAAGTTGATCATATAGCATGTAAGTAATGGTGTGTAATGCAAGGTTCTGGAGTCATCAAAATCATCATAAATTTGGCAGAGTCTTGGTAAAGTAACAATCACTTACACAGAAAGATGTATATGGGCCAACACACATGGTGTCAGGGCTAGTACTACCCTGATTTCCTTATCTCATTTCTCAGCCAGTATACATTTTCTTCCCAAATTGTTTGGCACATGACATTTTTTTGTAATCTTGAACATTCAGTGTAAGTTTCGTTAGATTCTGTGAGAATTCATTTTCTTTTTTTTACCAGAACTCAAGTTTATCTTTAACCTTTAGACTAATGAATACTCTCAATCCCATACACTGAATATACATGTCGGGACCACCTGCTTGTAACAGGCAATGGGTTTCAATTGCACGAATGTGAACTACTTGAATTCATATCCTGATAAACATACAGGAATGCCAATTAATTGTTTTATATCCGAAACTATTGAGTGTTGGCCTATCAGCTTTGACAATAGGCATTAATCAAGTAGTGTGTGTAGTAGACTGTAGACTGATAAATGGCCCATTTCCAGTTTTAAGTGGCAATAAAACTAGTCTCATATCTATTTCTTGTACATGTATGAGTAAAGCACTAAAGTGGCACTGTATATAAAGGAGAACCCTAAGAAGTAAGCCAGGGTTCCCTTTAGAAAAGCACTTTGCATCAGGAAGCATGATGGCTCAGTGGTAGATCAGTGGTCATGTAACTGGTACATGTAGGTCCCTGGTTTGAAACCAAGGCAATGTGCTCGTGCCCTGTGGTAAGGCATTAATCCTCATTACCACAAAGTCCCTCGGAGAGGACTTCATGTCGTAGGCCCCTGGTTGCTTACTTACAAGCATACACATGCTTTCTGGGCAGTTAGGTAAAACAATCATCAAACAAATAAGGGATCTCTTTGGAATGGGTAATATATAAAAGAGAAATACATGCATAACAAGCCCTCAGTTTAACCTTTGCCTACAAAAACCAGGTGGTGTAATATTTCACTGTAAAGAAGGTATGTAATAGATGACTAAAACCTGAAAATTTAAACAGTTTTTCATGAAAATGGTTGGTAAATCTTTTGGGTACAGTTCCATGGTATTGATTTAACTGATATTGTACCCTGTGACTGCTAAATGCTTTCATGTCCATAGGTTTAATACAGGAACGACTCAGATCCTGTAAGCAGTGGGTTAGTAAGAACAGGGTAAACACACAAATGGCAGGGTAGGTCTATGTTTACTGGTATGTTATTATATTTCATATGTCTTCTTTTTCTTTTGTACTATAATTTAAACTTTATTCAACTTTGTATTCAAATATGTGTTATGTTATTTTTCAGAGGCTCATACTTTTGGTAAATTACATTTCTTAATTTTGTTTTTTACAATAAGGAGAAATAGATTTGGTAATGAAGACATGGTATGTATTTATACTTCAGAAAATAGTACACTTTCACCAGTAATTCAGATGGAAAAGCTTGTGGAAATCGATCTTCTAAAAAAATATGAATTTATCATTATTGCAGCTAGTAGATCAAAAAGAGTCCCAAGTCCTCCTCCAATCTATTGTAAAGCTAGCATTGCCTCTTTCATAAGTTGCATCAGATACCGAGCTTAACTGCCAAAGTTCAGAGGTAAATTTTGTGATCGTTTCACATCATTGACAGCTCTTGGAGACTGGACCCAGATGTGTACATACATGTAACTTGACTGTTCAAATTGGAGTTAATGGTTGGCTGAAATGTTTTTTATACATTTATTTTGTATAAAGATCTACTATTTACATTGTGAAAGGTAATCTTTAATTTGCCTTTTTGTGTGTTTTTTTGCATTCGCTTTTGAAGTATTTATATACACCCATGTTGTCATGGTACATGTATATCATGGTATTGGTTTTTATTGTGTGCTGAGCATAATTTTATAATGCATTTGTATGTACTTTTTATCGTAATGAGTTGTCAGTAATTTTTTTATTATTTATAATAATTTATTATTATGTCCTTTGCATATGCTTTGAAAATATTTGCGTAAACTGCTTATTGGGAAATGCCTTCATTTATTTTTTTTCATTGAGAGCTCTTTTGTAAAAAATAACATTATTAACGATGTATGGTGAAATACTTTCATTTATTTTGTTTTCATTGAGTGCTCTTTTGTAAAAAAAAAAAAAAATTATTTCATTATAATATATGCTGAAATGCTTTCATTTACTCGTTTCTATTGTGTGCTCTTTTGTTTTAAAAAAATAATTATACATGGTAAAGTGCTTTCATTTACTTTGTTTATATTGTGTGCTCTTTCGTTTAAAAAAAAATATGATTATACATGGTGAAATGCTTTCATTTACTTTGTTACTATTGTGTGCTCTTTTGTAAAGAAAAAAAGATTATTTTTCATAAAAGATGCATATTATGCTGCTCGTATTGTGACAGGTTACAATTAAATGTATAAACTTGTAAAACATTGGTGTATACTTTGCTTAACTGCTTATGGGAACAGGTTACTTTTAAATTAGTTTCTATCATGCAATCGTAAGTATGTCCAACTTAAAATTATTTTACATACTATTGCTTATATTGTAACAGATTATTGTTAAATTGGTTTCAATTGGGAGCTATTATAAGCTTGTAAAACGTTCATATATGTGTATATTTATATACATTGTATATGATTGATGATAGGTTATCAATGAATTGATTTGTATTGTGTGCTTTACATATACTAGCTTCAAGAATGTATAATAATCTGTGATATTTTGCAGCTGAAATAAGTATTTATGTGCGCTGTGTCAAATCTCATCTAGGCAAATTAGATTTATGTATTTACATAATATCTGCCCGTAAAGGCATGTCTTGAGTTATCAAATTTGTATGGTAATCACTTAATCCTTTTTCTATGATTTTTCAAAGGGCAACAGCGATGATGAAGATATTTGATATGTTTATCTATATAGTAAGTCTGATTGATATACATGTGTTATAACCATGCATCAGTGTGATTCAATATAGACTGTATACCAGTGATTTAAATACACTAAAAATTACACAAGCTTGTATTTTAATCACAGTTTTAATTGATTCATGGCGAATACCAGAAATGTCATAAGTTGACAGGAATGGAAGGATTACATATACAGTCTTATTTGAAATAGGTTGCAATTAAGGAATATTGACACCTTACCACAAATCATATAGCCTGGAGCAGAGCCTAGCTCTGTCAGCCTAGTCTCATAGTGCAGACTTTGTTACACACAGCAAATGACAAGGATCTGTGCGTTCTTACTGCAGTCTTACTATGAAAGTAATACAATATGTTTGTGTATGCATTTATGGAAAAAATAATATTGGAATAAGTTAAGTGTGCTTATTATATTATATACAGGGTGACTTTTTCATTCATAAAGAGGAATTAGATTGGGTCCTTGGGCAGGTATTATGTGACTTTTTGTATGATCTCTATATGGTTACATAGAGCTCTAAAGTCCTTCCATATCCTTTTTTGTTGGTGCTATGATTTTATGTATAAAAAAAGGTGCATCAAAACCGAAAGTGTTCATCTTGAGGTTTATGGATAAATTGTAGTGCGGTTACTTTGCCGTTGCTCATCTTGATTCAATTGATAATACAGACTAAACTCTAGTTACAATTTATCTTATGATGTTAAAGCAAATCTGCATTTACACTCACATTCTCGTGTTTCATGGAAACTTTCTTATGGGTTTTGGGGGCTATAGATGATTATTTGTAGACTGATATCAATGCTGTCTGCTGTTCTTGAAATTTCTCTGTCTCTCATTCAGATATAATATGTGTAGATCTATCTCTGGAGTGTTTACATTCTGTTTGGTCTCTGGTCGGAAGGTGC